TGAGGGGGTTGAGCTCCATTGTCCTGGTCGCCTCCAGCTGCTCGGCGAACCGTGCTGCATGGACTTCCAGGGCGATGCGGTGCTGGAGCGGGGCGTCTGACGGTTCCGTGAGCTCGGCTCGTAGTAGCTCCCGGGCGGGAGCTGGCAGCGCCGCTTCGCATTCGGCTAGCCAGGAGTGGAGGGGGGTGGGGCTGGCGTAGGGTGGTGTGAGGGAGCGGGCCACTGCCCCGAGGGGGCTGGAAGGGTCCTTGGCGAGGGAGGCCAGGAGCCGCTGGGCGTGGGCTACGCTGGTAAGGAGGGCGTGTGGCCCTTCGACTGCGGGGTCTGTCAGCCCGAGCCCACCGAGGGAGGGGGGGAGGGAGGCCTGCTGCCACGTGCGCGCCATCTCATGATCCCCGCGCGGGGGCTGGAGGTTGCACGCCCTCAGGAGGGTGTGGTAGAGTTGTTGTCCCCACTGGGACCACTCCTCTGCTGGCAGCAGATTTAGCGGCGTCGTGCGGGTCAGGTAGGAGACTCGACGAGAGACGCAGCGGTGAAGGAGGAGGCTGGCGGACTGGGGGTCCATGGCCGCTAAGGTGGGGAGAGGCTTGGCCATCGCGGCCAGCTGTTCGCGCAGGAAACTGGCCGCTGCGTCTGGTGGGCCGATATGGCTGCCCAAGATCCGCAACCCGGAGGCGCAGAAGGGGATTCCCGGGGGGAGGAGGTCGGGGGGGGGAGGGGCCGTGGACCATGCCGCGCACTTAGCCGGATTATGGGTCAGGCCTAGTGGGAGCAGCGCGTGGGTGAGATGGGCGAAGGCGGCGGTGCATGCCGCTGGCTCTCCCATCAGGGTTATGTCATCGGCGTACGCCAGGCAGAGGACGCTGGGGTACGCCTGGGCGGTCTCGCGCAGGGCGGGGTGCATGGCGGCGGCGAAGAGAAGGGATCCCATGGGATCCCCTTGCCGGACGCCACGAGCGCTGAGGAGGGGCGGGCTGTTGAAGCCGGCGTCCAGGAAGAGGGTCGAGGGGGCGCCATAGGATAGGCGCACGAAGGGGAGTAGGGGGCGAAGAGGGGAGTTGTAGAGTCCCGTTATGATGGCCCCACGGTCGACGCTGTTGAAGGCGTTAGATAGGTCGACCTGGAGCAGGAGGGCGGACGGGAATTCCGTGGCGAAAGCCCTTGCGCCATGGATTATCGCTTCGCCTCCGGCTTTCACTGCCACGCCGAATTGCAGTGGGAGGAGGTGGCTTTGGGCGGGCTCGTTCATGGCAGCGAGGCCCGCTTTTGCCACCAGGCGGTGGAGGCACTCGCCTACTGCGATTGGGCGCGTGCCTCCCTGCGGCTTCGGAAACGCCAGCAGGCGGCTGGCTGTGAGGAGCTCCGCGACTTCTGGTGTGGCAGTCCCTTTTAGGAGGAGCTGTGCTACTGCGTGGAGATTGAGGGCGACGGAGGCGTTCGCGAGGGCTGCGTCGCGGAGATGTTCAAAACACATTCCCGACGGCCCTGCACCGACACCGTTTTCGCTGCGGCAAAGTAACCGTACGAAATCAGCCTGCGAGATTGAGGTGGGAGGCTCTGAGTCGTCGAGGGCGGGCCAGTCAAGGGACTCGGTCAGAGGGGGGGGATGTTTGGAGGTCAGCACAGCGAGGACCTCTGGCGTTGACTCGCTGACCGGCGTTGAGTCCAACGCCAGTAGGGCACGTCTGAGGCTGCCTCGACGGACGAGGCCCTCGGCGCGAGAAATTTTGCCAAGGGCGTCTCCAGAGTGTCGTGGCAACGGTGGGTTGGTTATCGCATCGACAGCAGCCAGGTAAAGTAGTTCCCATTCGCCGGCCAGGAACAGCTGCAGTCGTCGCTCGACTGCTGGCCAATCCGGGTGACGTGGCGAATTGAGGCGAAGGGTGAGTCTGGGTGTGAAAAGTAACAGGCGCCAGCCTGCGAGGCTGGATGGGTGTTTGGCGATGTGGAGCAGGGGTGTCAGGAGCGCCAGAGCGAAAAGCTGGCGTAATTTCTGGGGGATTCGACGGGAAAGGGGGGGCTGGCGACTGTCGCAAAGCAGTCCCGTGTCCCAATTTGCGATCCCCGTGAAAAGGGGTTCGTTATTCGCCAGATCTTCTGGCGAAAATTGGCGCGAGGGTTGGCAGGGTTGTGCCTCGTTGGCCCCTTGATTCCGTCTAAGCGGCGCCTGCTGCTCCCTTTGAATCCGCCCCGCCCGCCTTTGCCTTCGTTCAGGTATGTCGGGATCGTCGTCCTCTCCAGCTGAATCCTCTGTGCTAGTCTCGTCCCTCGCCTCCTGCCTATAAGTGGCATCCGCACGCTCCTCCGCAGCAGTCGTATCCTCCGCTGAATTTCCTCTTAAAGCCCTTCTCACAGCCCTGTGGAAGCCATTCAGGGGGCCTCCACCAGCCATCGGACCAGGCGAGCGGCCGCGCCCTCTGCCGCCGCGTCCTCTCTGCGCGCCACTGCCCCGCGCTGTGGAGCGTGGGGTAGGCGGGCGTTCGCCCCGCTGCCTCGCCGTGCCAGCTCTGGGGGTCATCGGCGAATCGGATGGCCGACCTAGCCGGTCGCGTTCGGAGGGAGCGCTCCGTTGACCGTGAGAGTTCGGGGGAAACCGTCCCCCCCGAGGTCGGTCGAGCTCCCCCCCCCCGTCGGACCAGCGGTGGGCGCGCGGGCTCCCAGTGCCGTCCACGAGCGCGCCAGCGTCCCCCAGTCGGATGCGGGCGGCGACGCCGCTTCGGCTGGAGGGGCGAGCGGTGGTGGCTGGTGCAGAGGTCCGCGAGTGTCCCCCTGCTGGGTTGTCGCCGCCTGCACTATCCCGCGCGGCGAGCCCCCGCCCCCCCCCTGTGCTGCCGTCTCGTCCCCATCCGCAACAGCAACGTGCGCCGAACGGCCCCTCGGGGCGAGGTGGTCCGCGTCGGGGGCGAAGGGGAAGCGCACTGGAGAGGCGGCTGGCGCGTACTGCCGCGACGCTGGAGGGCATCCTCGAGCGGGCTGGCGCTGGGCTGCTCCCTTCGCCCCCCCAGCAGGATCCTCCCCGACGGCTCCCCCTCCAGGCGCAGCCTCTATTGCCGCCTCAAGTCCTTCCTCCGCCCCTCCCCGACCAGCCGGCTCCTGTTGGAGCGTGTCCCCCTCAGTTGCAGCGTGTGCAACCTCGTCCTGTGGTGGCGCGCGGGGATGAGCAAACGAGCCTGCATTTCCCGCCACCTCCTCTGGCGGCTCCTCTCCTCTCCGCGCCTGCTCCGATGCTGCAGCCATTACCGCCTGGGGGCCCGTATCCTGCCCTGCGCCCTGCCGCGCACCTGCCGCCCCCGTACGTGTCGGTCCTCTCCCCCCCGGGGTACTACGATCCGCATCTCGGGTCCCTGCCAGCGTCCCAGATGGGCGGCCCCGTATCATCCGCTGATACGCTCCCGGAGTGGCATCCCCCCGCGTCATGGGCTGGGTCTGCGGAGTGGGCCGAACCCCAGGTTGGGCTCTACCGCGGAGGGGGCGTGGTCGGTCAGTTCGTTCCCCCACGGCGGCGTGCGCCATCCCCCCAGGGTGTAGAGGCGGGGGCAGAAGCAGCGGAGACGGGGGGCACGGAGTCCCCAGGCGAGGGATCTCCCCGTCGAGCCCGGGGGGCCGGGGTGGCGGCGCGAAGGAGCACGCCGACGGTGGGGCTGGGGGCGGTGGCTCCCGCGGTGATAGCGGTCCCAGCCGCCACGCTTCGTCGTCTTGGGCACGCTCGGAGGGGGACCGAGATATTGCTGACGATTCTGGCGGCGGCGAGCTCCGTGCTGGGGAACTCAGGGGGCCTGTCAATGGCCCCGTACTTCCCCCTTCAGGGCTGCATGGAAGCAGCCATAGATCTCGCTGTGGAGGCTGCGCGCGCGCGGCCCGGGCCCTCCCGGGGAACTGGCACGGACCCTCTCCTTCTCGCCGCGCTCCGCCAGGTGTCGGCGAGCATAGACTCGGCGTCAGCTGCAGGGCTTGTAGCTGGCGCCGTGTCCACGCTGCAGGTCCTGATGTCGTACCAGGCCGCGTTGCTGGAGGAGGCCGGGCTGGCTGCTGTCGCGGAATAGCAGGGCGGCGGGAGTAGGTGCGGCGGGGCGGTGAGTCCTGCAGTCTGAGCGCCCCCGCATGGCGGATCAGGTTCTCCATGCTTGCTTCAGTATGCCCTGTAGGGGCCTTGGTGGCCAATGTTGTATACTCCCGCTGAGTCCTATATGGTTGTGTAGTTGCTTGCCATCCCCGAACTGCGCGGCCGGAGGCCGCGCCGCGAGCGACGGCGGCCGAAGGCCGCCGGCGCGAGCCGAAAACAGGGAGAAAAAGAGAATGAATGGAAACTAAACAAGGAGAATGAGGAGAGAGAGGGCCTTATATAGCTGAGGAGAGGCTCATGCTCTCTCTCTCTCTCTCTCGCTCTCTCTCTCTCTCGCGAGCCGAAAACAGGGAGAAAAAGAGAATGAATGGAAACTAAACAAGGAGAATGAGGAGAGAGAGGGCCTTATATAGCTGAGGAGAGGCTCATGCTCTCTCTCTCTCTCTCTCTCTCTCTCTCTCTCTCTCTCTCTCTCTCTCTCTCTCTCTCTCTCTCTCTCTCTCTCCTCTCCACTTCTCAGGCTTTCCTTGCCCCTCTACTCCCACTCCCTTCTCTCCCTGTCCCTTCTCACTCGCCCCTCTCCCCTCCCCTCTCCCCCCCTCTCCGCCTTCTGTCCCCCTCGTTACTCCACCCTCCCTCTCCACTCCTAGATTGCATACTCACTTCCGTTGTTACCCCACCTCGTTTTTCGTGCTGCTCTTTTCTCCCCTCCCCTTCCCCTTCCCCCGCCCCCTTCCCCGCTCGTGCCACATGTCCCCAGTTCCTGTCTATTTCATTCCATGACAAGAAAGCGTTCCTTCCTTTCCCCTGGTGACCTTCAATCTTTCCTCTAATGACTCCCTGTGTCCTCCCGTCCGGTTCCCTCCCACCGCACACCCACACTCACTCACCCACACTCACCACACACCCACACTCACCCACACCCATGCATACACAGGATCGAGTGGCGGAGCAGTGGGAAGTTGTGAGGGCAGTGAGGGACGCAGATGACGCAGAGGCGGAGGACTATTTCAAGGGCATGAGCGCCTGGCAGTGCACCGTTGTCGCCGTCTCTGCTGCCCTGGCAGAGGAGCTTTTTTTCCGGGCAGCCCTGCAGGCGTTTATAACTCACACGCTGCTGCTCTCGGGATCTCCGTCGATCGATGCTCCGGCCGTTGGCATGGCGGCTCTGGTGGGTGGCTGGTGGATGGGTGGAGGGGTGCGAGGGGTGGGCTGGTGGAGGGGTGGATGGATGGATGGATGGGTGGAGAGATGGAGGGATGGAGGGGTGGACGGGTGGAGGGATGGGTGGATGAGTGAACGGGTGGATGCGTGGATGGGTGGATGGGTGGATGGGTGGATGGGTGAATGGGGGAATGGGTGAATGGGTGAATGGGTGGATGGGTGGATGGGTGAACGGGTGGACGCGTGGATGGGTGGCAGGAAAGGGGGAATGGGGATGGAGGGAGGGGAGGGTGCGGAGGAGGGAGGGCAAGAGGGGGAGGGAGGAAGAGAGGACGATGTTTCCAGTGCTGCTCAGGTCATTGCCATGGCGGCTCTACCTGTCACTGCCATCCCCCCCTCGTTTGCGCATTCAAGTACCACCTCTCTACTCCCCCTTTCCTCCCCTCTCCTCCTTTCTCTTCCTTCCTCCTTTCTCCTTCCATTTGTCTAACCCTTTTCCCTCCAGACGGGCTTCCTCCCCGCCATGGCGCCCTGCACGCAGCTGTGTGCCGCTACAACCACACTCACCGGCTGCCTCCCCGTCTGCCTGTCTCCCCCCCCCCCCTCTCTCCACTCTCCTTCCGTGTTTCGCTCCTCCCCGCCTCCTCCAGACGGGGTTCCTCCCCGCCATGGCGCCCTGCACGCAGCTGTGTGCCGCCACGCTCACACTCTCACACTCACTTGCTGTGCCGCCCCGCTGCCTTTCTTCCCTCCTCTCCCATCGCCTTTCCTTCCGTCTTCGTTTCACTCCTCCCTCCCTCCATCCCTCCAGACGGGCTTTCTCCCAGCCATGCGCCATGGCACCCTGCACGCTGCTGTGTGCCGCCACACTCTCACTTACCCGTCTGCCCGGCCATCCTCCCTCCCGTCCCATCCCCTCTCTTCCTCGTGTCTCTCCTCTCTCCGTCCCTCCAGACGGGCTTCCTCCCCGTCATGGCGCCCTGCACGCAGCTGTGTGCCGCCACGCTCACAGCAGCCGTGGCCGGCTCGGTGTACTACGCTACAGCGCTGCCCAGAGGTATGGGTGCAGGCCCTCGTGCTGCTCCTTCGCTTGCTCCGTTGCCTCTGGGCAGTGCACACATGCGTGCTGCACTACGCCGTGGCGCTATTTTTGAGGCGCCTCAAAAAAAGACTTCCTCGTGCTGCTCCTGTGCCTTCTCCGTTGCCTTGCGCACACATGCGTGCTGCACTACGCCGTGGCGCTATTTTTGAGGCGCCTCAAAAATAGACTTCCTCGTGCTGCTCCTGTGCCTTCTCCGTTGCCTTGCGCACACATGCGCGCTGCACTACGCCGTGGCGCTATTTTTGAGGCGCCTCAAAAAAAGACTTCCTCGTGCTGCTCCTGTGCCTTCTCCGTTGCCTTGCGCACACATGCGTGCTGCACTACGCCGTGGCGCTATTTTTGAGGCGCCTCAAAAAAAGACTTCCTCGTGCTGCTCCTGTGCCTTCTCCGTTGCCTTGCGCACACATGCGTGCTGCACTACGCCGTGGCGCTATTTTTGAGGCGCCTCAAAAAAAGACTTCCTCGTGCTGCTCCTGTGCCTTCTCCGTTGCCTTGCGCACACATGCGCGCTGCACTATGCCGTGGCGCTGCCCAGAGGTATGCTTATAGCCAAGGTTCAAAATTACGGCGTTTTTTTATATATTTTGCCCGTATTTTACGGTTTCGTAATTTACGGCCGTATAATACGAATATTACGGCTCGAAATCACCTTTTTTGGGTTGGTTAAAAAAAACGGCCGTTTTTTACGGCCGTTTTTTTTTATGTGGTGTACATTCAGAATCTCGAATTCCGTACCAGAATTTAGGGGATGGGGGTACACGCGCACCCCCAAATGTTCATAAGTCAGCGTTTTCCCGAAGCGAGAATGAACCCGAAACCCGAGTCACCCATTTTACCAAAAATTTCTTGTGCCGTTATAAAAGAACCCCCCCCTTCGCGAAACCCGTTGGTTATTTCGCGCCCAGTAGGGTGGTTTCGCTCAATTTGCGAAACCACCCTGTCGAAGCGTGTTTCAAAAACATAACCCAATGGATTTTGGTTCTCTTCGAAGCCTTTCTCAACCCAACTTCGAAGTGTGTGAGATACAAATACAGAGGACGTTTTCTAAGCTACCACAAGACGAAGTTTGGAGCGTTTTTCTGGCTGGAATCTAAGCCAGTTTACTCTACCGACTTGCAACTCCAGATTTCCATGCTTGTAGGTGCCATGGTGCATTAGTAAGCATTCAGTTGACGTTGAAACCGCATAGGAGCCATTCCCCTCGGAAAAAAAAAAAAAACCATGTTCTCTATTTAAATTACGCCGTTTTTTTCCCCAAACTGCCCGAAAAAAACGGTCGTAATTTACGGACAGTATTTTTCGAAAACCGTAATTTTGAACCTTGCTTATAGCCCCTGCGCTTCTTCCTGCGTACTCAGCTGTGTCACAAGGCCATGTGTGACAATCTATTGTGTCTTGTGCCGACCCTCCCCCCATCCCCTTGTGCCTTTCCCTTCGGCCTGTTTTATCTATTTTCTCTGAGTGGTCTTTCTCTCATTTATGTGCTGCGGATGCCTGATTTTTTTTCGGTGTGAGCTTTCGTGTCCTGAGGCGTTTCAATTCTCATGGATGTGCGTCGGCTAGACATGATCAAATCACATCGCATTATCGCATCGCAAATATCGCATTTTTGCGATCGCGAAAAAAATCCCCTGAAAAATATACTGCGCGATGCGATGCGATATTTATCGCGCGATAATTTTCATCGCATTTTTACCGCGCCATGTGTCGCGCGATAAAAATGCGACATGCGATATTACAGAATCGCATGCGATATAATTATATGGCATCACGAAATTTCACCAGGTTTGGGGTTTTGAGGGGGGGGAGAGAACACAAAACCCAGAGAAACGCGCCATTCTGATTCTCCTTTGCAGAATTAGAATGGTGCCCGTTTCTTTCAAGCCCTACACACCAGGTCTTACCTCCTACCTAGTCTAGGAACGTTTTCAAATCTTCATCGGGGCCATATACCATGAGGGCTCGCACCTGTGTGAAACCTGAGTGAAACCTGAGTGAAACCCTTGTCGTGTCTAATTTCTGCACTCTTTTTTCCAGTCCGGTCAAATACGTCCTTTTTTTTTTTCCACAAACAGTAAATGCGATGCGATATAGTATCACATTGCGCGATGTATCACATTTGCATTTGCGATATTATTAAATATCGCACCCAAAATGCGGTATGCGATATCCCAAAATCAGGATATTTAATTGCCCGATGCAATATATTCCATGCCATAAATTGCCAAAAAAAAAGAAAAAAAAAAAGCACGATGCGATTAAATATCGCATCGCATTTTGCTCATTTCTAGCGCCGGCACATGCTTGTGTGCCTTCTTCCCCTCCCCCTCCTTTGTCCCCTTGTGACTTCCCCTTGTGCTGGACGGCTACAATCGTCCTTGCAAATACATTTTTTCATGGATGTGGTGTGTGTGTGCTTTTGCTGACGTGTCTATTTGCGTGTGTGCACGCATGCGCGTGGGCGCGGGCGTTTCCTTGTGGTGTGTGCGTGTGGATGTGTGCATGTGTGTGTGTGCGTGTGTGTGTGCAGATGCTGTCATTGTGGTCACCCAGTCATACAGCCTCATGGAGCTGAGGTCTGCAATCAGAGGTGCGTTCCATCTGCGCCCGAAACACAGGCGCCTCAACAGCACTCCCTGAGTCATACAGCCGCATGGAGCTAAGGAGCTGAGGACTGCAGTTAGAGGTGTGTTCCGGTGGAGCGGTTTTTTATGCCTCTGAACAGGCCAGATCATTTCCCCACAGGTCGATTGCTGCCAGGGCCTGTTCATCTCCTGCTCGCTCCAACTCCCTTTCTCCCCTCTCACTCCCTTACTCACTCTCACGTGTCATCTTTCCCTTCCTGCTCACCTCTCTCCTCGCTCCACCTTTTCGCTCACGCACATGCACATACACACAAAGCATACCTGCTCATTGCGTCCTGCCGTTTCTTTATGGAGTTTTAGTGCATTTTGTCTCGCTTTGTAGACCCAAACGCTTTATTTACCCCACCTCCCCCCCCCCCCCCCCCCCCCCCCTCCCCGCTCGTCCCCTAAAGCCTGGCATGAGCGGCAGCAGCACCAGAAGATCTACCCGCCCATGTTTGCCTCCATCCTGAGCCTCTACTATGGAATCGAATGGGTCATGGTGAGTCGCATGAGTCACGGAGAGTGGTGCATGGATTCTGGTGGCATGGCTCATGGCTCATGGCTCATGGCTCATGGCTCATGGCTCATGGCTCATGGCCCATGGCCCATGGCCCATGGCTCATGGCTCATGGCCCATGGCCCATGGCTCATGGCTCATGGCTCATGGCTCCTGGCTCCTGGCTCGTGGCTCGTGGCTCGTGGCTCGTGGCTCGTGGCTCGTGGCTCGTGGCTCGTGGCTCGTGGCTCGTGGCTCGTGGCTCGTGGCTCGTGGCTCGTGGCTCGTGGCTCGTGGCTCGTGGCTCGTGGCTCGTGGCTCGTGGCTCGTGGCTCGTGGCTCGTGGCTCGTGGCTCGTGGCTCGTGGCTCGTGGCTCGTGGCTCGTGGCTCGTGGCTCGTGGCTCGTGGCTCGTGGCTCGTGGCTCGTGGCTCGTGGCTCATGGCTCATGGCTCATGGCTCATGGCCCATGGCCCATGGCTCATGGCTCATGGCTCATGGCTCATGGCTCATGGCTCATGGCTCATGGCTCATGGCTCATGGCTCATGGCTCATGGCTCATGGCTCATGGCTCATGGCTCATGGCTCATGGCTCATGGCTCATGGCTCATGGCTCATGGCTCATGGCTCATGGCTCATGGCTCATGGCTCATGGCTCATGGCTCATGGCTCATGGCTCATGGCTCATGGCCCATGGCCCATGGCCCATGGCCCATGGCCCATGGCTCATGGCTCATGGCCCATGGCCCATGGCCCATGGCCCATGGCTCATGGCTCATGGCCCATGGCCCATGGCCCATGGCTCATGGCTCAGGGCTCAGGGCTCATGGCTCATGGCTCATGGCTCATGGCTCATGGCTCATGGCTCATGGCTCATGGATCATGGCTCATGGCTCATGGCTCATGGCTCATGGCTCATGTCTCATGGCTCGTGGCTCATGGCTGATGGCTCATGGCTCATGTCTCATTGCTCATGGCTCATGGCTCATGGCTCATGGCTCGTGGCTCATGGCTCATGGTTCATGGCTCGTGGCTCCAGTCACGTCCTCATTAGTTCCACAACTTCTGCTACCTATAAGTTGCAATCCCCTCTTCCCCTGCATCTGTCTCTCCCTCCTTCCACTTCCCCCTCCTGTCCTTCCACGCCCCCGTTTTCTCCCTCCCCCAGACGGGCAATCTCCTTGCACCCATGCTGACACACGCTCTTCTTAACCTTATCGTCTTGCACATGAGCCTGGTGCGCATGGACGACAGGCAGCCTGGTCACCCTTACCAGCCTTACCAGCCTAACCAGCCTGGCCAGCCCTCTAAGCCTGTTAGGGATTCCCGGCCGGTTAAGCCTGTTAAGCCTGCAAACAAGGCGCTCTAATTGTTGATACTAGCAAGCGAGCGAGCCAGCAAGGGAGGGAGGGTGGAAGACCTTGTGGTCGAAATTAGCGGACACACAAGAGTGCAGCTGAGGGGCTGGATGTTGAATGACTTCAATGCATTGGTGTGAAATCCTGCTTGTGCATCCTCATGCCGTGCTACCTTGGATGAGCTGCAGTTTTCCAACTTGAGTTTTGTTTGTACGTCGCTGTCATGGCGGCATCCTATTTGTCCTCTTTTTAGATTACCGGCACCTGAGCGAATTCAAATAAAGAAACATTTGCCGAAAATGAGAGGATGTTGCATTGCAAGAGAGCATTGTGAATGTTATGAATCCAACTCAGTATAGTGCAGTATTCAATAAGAGGAACATGACTGAAGAATGACGATAGAAATGAGGTGTGTTGACCAGGGTTGATTGAATGTCCTAGGACCAGTCAAGGGCTCGAGAATCCCAAGGGTGACGGAGTCAAATTGGGTTCGGGGCGACTCGGGCAGGGCTGACGTTTCAAAAAAAAAAAACCTTAAACTGTCGAATGGGAAAAAAGTTTTACCCTGAGGAACTTGTGTTCAAGTTTTCGCTACCCTTGATTTCTCGAGGTTGGCTAGCCACAAACAGGGTTGCACTTGCACTAAGTCAAGTAAGAGAACGTTACGACAGCTAGTAGTTCGGAAAAAAAACCACCACGCCAGCCTACAGATTCAATTCACTCCTCTATCTAGACTTCACAAGATTCCACACCACTAGCTAACCTTGATTAAAACTATGGGGCATCCATGTTCACTTCGTCCTCTGCCTCGTCGTCGTACAAAAATGGGTTGTCTTCCACTACAGGAGTCTCTACCCCCTCTTTTCCCTCCTCTCCCTCATCCTTTGCCCAATCCCCCATGTAGTCGGGGACTGCCTCCTCCTCCACCCTCCGTTCTACCCTCTCCATCGCCTTTGCCTTACGCTTCCTCTCCTCTGAGGCAAACAAAACTGACTTAGCAGGGCGCCTCAGCTTCTCAAGGGCCTCGCACTTGGAGAGCCGCCGAAGTTCAAGGCGCGCTACATGGCTAGAGGCTTCAGTCAGCGAGAAGGTGTGGAATTCTTCCAAACCTTCTCCCCTACCCCGAAGATGACAACTCTTCGGGTGCTCTTTCACCTAGCCGCGCAGCATGAATACAAGCTTAACTCACTCGACTTCTCCACAGCCTTTCTACAGGGTCGTCTGCACGAGCAGATCTACCTGCGGTGCACACTAGGCTTCTCTAGGTCCCTCCCACCTGAGACGCAGTGGAGCTTGCGCCACCGTGTCTACAGTTTGCATCAAGCGCGCCGTGAGTAGCACAACACGCTTCGCACCACACTTGCTGAGCTGCATTTCTTCCCGTCTTTTGCTCACCCCTCGCTCTTTCTCTATACTGGTCAGATCTCGTTCTACATCCTAGTGTTTGTAGACGATCTTCTTTGCTACTCTTGACAGAGATGCACTGGCCTCAGGACGAGTTACGTAGGAGGCACACTTGCACAAACCTGGGGGAGCCGAGGCGCTATCTGGGCTTGGAGATCTCTTGTGACCATGCCGCTCGCATGATCATACTCTCCTAGTCCTATGTGGTGCTGCAGATCCTCCAGAGGTTCAATCGCCAGTTCTCCTCAGCATAGCCCACCCTATGGATCACAAGCTCGTTGCTCATGTTTAGGCTGAGCCCGCCGAGTCGAGTGGTCCATACACACAGCTGGTGGGGTTCCTCATGTACCTGATGACGTGCGCTTGACAGGATCTAGCGTACCCTCTCAGTTTCCTTGCTCGCTTTGTGGCAACAGATAGGCACCGACCAATCCACTGGGCGACTACCAAGATGGCGCTGCATTATCTGCCGAGTCGTTATCTGTCGAGTACAACAGCATTAGGGCTTGTACTAGGAGGACGAGAGCTAGTGGTGCTCACCGAACACACATACGCATCGTGGGCTGACGACTTGGAGATGCTCAGGTCCTCACAGGGCTACTGTTTTAGTCTTGGTGCTGGTGCACTCACGTGGAGGTCCACTTGGTCGTCGTCTGTAGCTCAGTCCAGTTGTGAGGCAGAGATCTACGCTGGCGCCATGCCCGCTCAGGAGCTCCGCTGGCTGACATTCTTGCTTACTGACTTAGGTGAGCTGCCTAGCGCAGCCCCGAACCTATTTGCTGAGAACGGGGTCATGATCCTCCTGTGTCAGGAGGCGCGACTTGAGGGTAGGGCGAAGCACATCCATCTGCGTTACTTCCTGCTGCGTAAATTGTAGCAGTGCGGTCCGGCTCATGTAGTATCGTTGGCCTCATAGGCCAATCCTGCTGATACACCTAGCCCACGGTAATTTCATACCTAGCATTTTCACACGGGGTGCCGTCGAGAGTGTATTCACCCCCTGAAAGCAGCTCATGAAGTCCAGATCCAGATACCCTTGAAAAACAAATCTAGCTCAGATTTCTATACGAAACGTTTACTGCTCGAAGCTTGGGCCGACGCCAGCTTAGGCAGTGCTCAAAGTTTTGGCCAGCGTGGAGTCTGCCGCGCTTAGGCCGTAGGAACAAGAGAGTACTGTCTACGCACTCATAAATGGTCAGGGTGGAAACAAAACTTTTGTTGCCGCCCAATTTCAGGTGTGAAATTACCGCGGGCTAGGTGTATCTTCACCAAGGCACAACCGCCTTGTAACCATAAGCGATTCTGTACTCAGCTTGGTCTAGTCTCAGTAGTAGCACCGCTCCTTGTATCCTGATGCATACTATACCTACTTGTACTTGCCATGCTATACCTGCTTGTTTTGTTAGACTTGCTGACTGGCCTCTTAGCCCTTGTCTCGGTGGTCAGACTAGTTGTGCTTCCCTAAGCTGCTATGTTACATACACCAGAGGCCAGATGAGTTGTTCTGTCTTGTTATAAACTATCACAACAGTATCTAGGCTAGGGGGTGTGTCAAGAAACTCACATAAGCTACCCGTATTCATCCGGATATACGCACCGCTGGCTAAGACGCACCATGGTGTGTTTATCCTGAGGGGTGCCATATCGGTGGTGCCATCTATACGCACCCTTTGAATCTTGGCATTCTAACCCCTACAAGAACCCCCTCAGATTCGCCAGAGATAATCATTTGTCTATTTTTTAATACACCTACGAATTCTAATTAGACGTAAGATGTCACATCTACAGCTTAGTCAACTTCTACGGTTAGATCATCTACCATGCTCTACAGCCTACACCTCTAAGATATGCACAGCCACATGCTCAAGCTTCGCCTCGTCTACGATCTCCTGCAGCTGTCGCCTCGTCCACCAAGTGCACTCCCGGCTCCCCTTCCTCTCAACCCTCCTCCTCCTCCTCCTCCTCCTCCTCCTCCTCCTCCTCCTCCTCCTCCTCCTCCTCCTCCTCCTCCTCCTCCTCCTCCTCCTCCTCCTCCTCCTCCTCCTCCTCCTCCTCCTCCCCAGCCGCGGTCGAGTTTTCCCCCGTGAATCCGTCGGCCCCGGTCTCATCATTCACATCAACTGTCGCCTCCTACGGGTCTCTCATGTGTCTGAGGCACAAGTAGTCTTCGGAGCCATCCAGGGCATTCAAGATGCCGCAGGTCTTGAATTCCTTCTGGATAAGGGTGGCAGGGACAGCCTTCCACGCCTTGGAGACCCATTTCAGGGTCTCCTCGGGTGGCGGCTTCCTCAGGTTTCTTGCACCAGACAAAGAACACCATTAGTTATTGGAAAGATATAACAAACGTGCATGACAGCAGTGGATAAGCTTACCTTTGGGAGTGAAGATGGTGCAGCCGACGCGGTCGAACCACTCCTGGTAGAACGATCGGAACAGAGCCTTAAAGTTGCGATTCTCGGCTATGTCGAGCGGTTGAATGATGGACGTGCAGCTGGCCGGGATGATGCCGGCACCACCTGGAGCTTGCCGTAGAACCCCTTCACTTCGGGGGTGAGATGATCGCGGTAAGATCCAGAATAAGGAGAGCAGTGTGGGCACAGAGGCCAAAGTTGGGCTTGATGAATGGCTTGACCGCCTTCTCAAGCTACTCGATGACCCCCGCGAAGTCCATCCATCCATTTTGTTGGGCGGCGACCTCGACATCTGCATCAACGGAATATAATCCGTTAGTCAAAGTATAGCAGGTTAGAAGACAGGGCAATGCACATGTATAAGGCATCAATAACTTACCGAGGGGGAAGTTTCCCTTGGATACGGTTGCTCGCTTGAAGAAGACCCATGGCTTGAGCTTCTCGCCTGTGGCCGTGCAAGCGAGCATCACTGTAACGCGTTCCTTCTGATAGCCCGCAGTCTTGATCGGCACCGAATTGATCCCGACTTGCTCCACGGTCCGCTCTGCTGGCATCTCCAACTAGACGGGAGTCTGGTCCGCGTTGATGATCCAGCGGTTGTCGATCGTGTAGCCCCTCCTCGCTCCGTGATAGAACTGCCAGAAGGACTCCACTTGTTCCTTGCACTCTGCGTTCACATGCATAAAGAAACGCCATAGTTAGTTCGGACAAATCAACAGTTGAAGAATGAACACTCGAGGTTCAGCAGAGGATGCATATACAGGTCACCCTTACCTTCGGTCATCTTCTGGCCGACCTTGGTGCGGGCCCGAACAGAGAGGCCCCATCATTTCCTGAAGCGAACGCTCCACCACTGTGAAGCCATCCACTTCTCGTCGGGGTGCATGGTCTTCATCAGCTCTCTCGACCACTTCTGCAGCTTCCTTACAGGAACAGGGGTCCCTTTCGCGCGGTCTTTCAGGAACTTGTCGTATACGACAAGCTCCATGTCGTGGTACTAGCTGCGGTGCCCATGGCCATGCAGTCAATTGCGGCACGCCGCGGCTTCCTTCAATATGTCCTCAAAGAGCTCCCACTCGCGGATTCGACGGCGCGAAATGCCCGACTCGCGCTGCACAGATCGCCGGTTCTTGTCGAGGGCGCGCCATCGCTCCAGCCAATACAGCTTCTCCTGAGATGTGTACGCCCTTCGATTGCGCTGGGTCATCCGAGATCTAGGGGAGGGAGGGCGGCTGTCGAAGTTTATCGTCGTTGGATGAGGACGGCTCTGACCTTCGGGGAATGTTGGGATGGGCAGCTTCTCGGGCAGCCCGTCACGGTGCCAGTACTCCGCCTCCTCCTCATCCATTTCCTCCCACTGGTCGTGCTCAGGCGAGTCATCACCGTCGGGGATTCCCCAGTCGCGAGCGCGCAGGGATTCGGGAGCCTCCTCCTCGTCCGAGACGCTCTCGACGACGCATTCGTCTGGCTGGGGCGGAAACGGGTCGCCGGGCAGCAGCAACGTCAGAACAGGAACTCCATCGACCTCCGTCAGGGGCAACCACGAAGACTAAGGTCGCGATCTCCCAGGAGCGGAGGGCGCTGGAGGGGCTGGTGGGGTCGGAGATGCAGGAGGAGCTGGGGGAGCGGGAGGCGCGGGAGGACCAGGAGGAGCGGGTGGCGCAGGAGGAGCAGTGGGGGCAGCACGGAAACCACCAAATCTACTAGCTCGAGCAGCAGCTATGTCCTGTCTAGAGAGGTGTGTGGGTGTACCATGGCTGCCAAACAGAACAGACATGGCTGTGGGTGGAAGGCCAGCCATTGCGGCGGCCTGGCGAGAGAGGAAGCATGAGGACGCCTGGTTGAGAAGCTGCTGAAATAATGAAGCTTCAACCAGGTATTCCCCACTTCCTCGATGGGGAATTTCTCTTCGTGCAGCCCATGATGGTGCACGATGCGGATTCCTCTCCCTTACCGAGCTGAGAGGGCACCGTCGTGGCAGCACGAAGCTGCCAGCAGATTCTTCTAGAGCATCCAGCTCGCCTTGCTAGATGTTGCCCGCCATGCATCTGGCTGTGATTGGACCGCCAAGCAGCATATTCGCACAAAACCGCCAATGCAACAAAACCTACATTTCAGCTGTGACAACATCGACCCGCTGTGCTCGTGGTTGGTCCGTTTGGCAGCATCCACGCACGCCTGGCGGGTTCGAAGTTTCTGGACCAGTTTCATGCGAATCTTTGTTGTATTCGCTGCTGCAAAAATCAGAATTGTGTTGGCGGTTGTTAGAAGCACATGTTGATACATTTATATTTTTATTTTTTCTTTAAAAAACCATTTTAAACGCATTGGGCCATATTGCAAAAAATCGAATAAACGCACCCCCCAATTTTTTGTTTAACTAAGGTAGCTAGGAACGGTAGGAAGCCATAGAAATGGCGAGAGGTTTTAGGCTAGGAAAGTCGAGGAGAGAGAAGGGGGGTCGAGAATAGAAGAGAGAGGGATACAAGGAGGGGGGTTGTACCCTCTACAGTAGGTTTCAGTAACACCTACCAAGCCTACCAAATATATAACAAAATATATAATTTAACACACCCCCTTGGCTTGGTAGTAACAAGCCTACACACACCCATACCCCCTAACCTAGCCCGCCCTTTCCAAACACCAGCCACGATGACTCTGGAATCGGTCAACACCCACGGCCCGATAGATGGCAATGGCGGCAGTCGTGGCAGTGACGAGAGCGACGGCGGCGGCGGCGGCTTCAACGTCAGAGGCGAGTGCAGCGGCCCCCGTCCTCTCGGCGGCATGGCCAATCTCATCGGCTGTGGAGAAGGCCCTCAGGAGGCAGTCGACGGCTGTGGCAAGGAAGAGGAAACGTGTGAGAGTACGACCCCGTTCCATTTCTTTCTCCTTTCCATTTCATTCATCTTTCCATCTTGATCCATTTGGTTTTTATCTCATTCCATTTGGATTCCTATTTCTCCTTTTCCATAAACCTTTGGTTTATCCAGTTATTATCATTATATCACCGACCAGGTTCGGGATGTACTGGTGCGCTATATCTAGCATAATCCTGCCGTAATCCTTTAAAGCCAATAGCCTCGTGTGGCTATACGCAGCGTGATTCTATCTTCTACAAGGGTCTATTCCCTTGGGATAAGATAAACCTGGTTACCTGATGTACTTTGGAAGTATAAAAGCGCCTTGTACTGATCGATAGTGGAACCTTTCCTCGAGACATTCGATCCTGTGACACTTGGTAATTAGAGCTTTTCTCACTCGACCGCGCTCAGCAAAGCAGCAGCAGCGGGGGATCCTGCCTCGAAAAACCGCCGGGGGCGACCAATTCGACGCCGATTCGGGTAAGTACCAGCTCCGCGTTTTTTCGAATTACCCCCTCCGCGCGTGTTTTGAACAGGATGGCGAACGTCGACAACGCCGAAGTTACCCAGCAGCTCTTCGCGAGCATCGCAGCCCTTCAGGAGGAGATGCCAGCGGATCGCGAAGCGTGGCGAAACGAGTTCGAGCGAGTAACTTGACTCGTCGAAGCACAACACGAAACGACAACGGCGATGACGCAGCAGTCGCAACAGTTTCTCGAGGCTCCGAAACCGCGCCCACCTGAGCCGTTCGATCCGAGCGATCGAAACTCCGACGTCCGCAGATGGATCGCCGGCATGGAGATCTACTTCGCAGCTGTCGGATGGAGCTCGCCAGCCTGGGACGGTCAACGCGTATGACTCGCGGCGACACTGATGCGAGGGCCAGCACTCGAGTGGATCGGCGGTAACAGCACCTTCATCCACGGCGAAGCCACGTGGCAGCAGTTCCGCACCGACCTGCTGAAACGTTTCGAGCCGATAAATTCGGGTTTCCTTGCCCGCGAAAAAATTCATCGCCATCGACAGTTCGGGAGTGTAGCGCAGTACACGCAGCAGATGGAGGAATTTTATAACCGAATTCCCGACCTGACCGAAGGGGAAAAAGTACACTCGTACCTCGCCGGGCTGAAGACCGAAGTCAAACGACAAGTGGCAGCGTCAAACTACGCGAGTTACAGTGACGTCGTTTCGGCAGCGGAGCGCTTGGACATGGTCAACGCCAAGACACGACGGATGCACGTCGGCAGTATGCGACAGGGCAACCGCTCGGCTCACCCCACGTTCGCCGACCCGATGGAAGTCGATCGAATCTTCGACTGCAACAAAATGAAAGCCACACGCGCAGAGTATCGGGCACGCAACAGTGGCGGAATTCCTTCCGCCAATCAGAAGACAAAAAACGGGAGTCGCCAGTGATCGCGGCTCTAGCTGGCGAAAAAGAAAGATCCGAGAACGGCCGCGGGATTCTGGAAAAATCAACTTCGACGCAGCTGATTCGACGCGAACAGGAGAAAATGATAGGGAAAAATCTCCACCCCACGACCAGTCTTTGCCAGAGGAAATCGCGGAGGAAAAATCTAACTCCGCGAAAAAAGACTCTGCCGAGACAGGGAAACTCCTTGAACACCCAAGAAATTATAAGGATTCGTTAAGTTATCTTACAAAGATACTTTAATGAAAACTTATGATTTTCAAGGTGCTAGAGCCTTGGAGAAATTTCGGGAGGGACTCTAAAAGAAGCAGACAACTGTGGAGATCATACCGGTACCGGACAACTTGGGGACCAAATTAAGGAGTGTGGAAAGAAGCCGACCTTTCCACGGAGTCAACGTTCTCTCCCGACACCAGCCCACAACGACTACCTGTTCCCCAGGGAAGACGTCGGAGGAGCTGAGGCAGCTCAAGAGGAAGCTGGGGGTCTACAAGAAGCTGCACAAACTCCGAACTCCTCCTATGGATGCATCCAGTTCTTCGGCATCAATGACGCGCACAGTCGTCAAGGAAACTCCGGGCCCTGGAGAAGAGCCGTTCTCCAAGCAGCCTCGGCCAGCTGCCAGCTCAGGAGTAGATAGTAACACAAAGGTGTGTATGGAATATTGGGATGTACCCTATGACCCAATCGATGAAACCATCTTTGGGTACTCCGAGCAACGCCTGCCCCTCGTGCTCGAGGTCATCTGCAAAGGACGACGCCTCCAAGCACTCGTGGACAGCGGAGCATCACACACTGTATGCAACAAGGCAACCATCGATCGACTTCGAGAAGAGTACAAGCCATCAGCGTTTACTGCAACGATGGTGGACGGCAGCAAGTTACCAGTGTACGGCGAAGCAGTGCTACACCTACAAATCGGTCCACTGCGCTGGAAACTTGCTCTCCCCATCACCAACATAAAAGGGCTTGACCTGATCTTCGGGCGAGACTTCCTCAAGAAATTCAACCCCGAGATCAACTGGGTAAACCGCACCGCAAGCATCTACAACAAAGGAAGGAGAGTCCAGCTACCCAACTGGGACGATACAGGAGATATCCCAGTAGAGACACTCGCCAGATTCGAGAAGGACGTGAAGCGAACCGACACCGGGTTCCTAACGATAGCAACAGAGGTGGAGAATGACGGAGAGAAAGCCTCGGAACCTCCAGAAAAAATCAAGGACTTACTGAAGGAGTTCCAAGACATTCTTTCCGACGACCCCCCGGACGAACTACCCCCATACCGAAGGCACCAACACGAAATCGTGGAGGAACCAGGTTCGAAACCGACCTTCCGAGCACCATATCGGCTAAGCCCCACAGAACTAGCCGACATGAAGAAGCAGATCGAGTATCGCCAAAGGACTCATCCGACCATCCACTTCGCCATACGGTGCCCCAGTACTCTTCACACCGAAACCGCACGGAAGCCTGCGCATGTGCAGCGACTACCGAGCTCTCAACAAGCAGACCATCAAGAACAAATATCCGATACCACGAATCGATGACCTGCTTGACCAGCTTCGGGGAGCTACGGTATTTTCAAAAGTAGATCTACGGTCCGGATACTGGCAGATAAGAATGGCGGACGATTCCGTTCACAAAACTGCTTTCCGAACTCGGTACGGATCATACGAGTATTTGGTCATGCTGTTCGGACTCACCAATGAACCTGCAACTTTCCAAGCAGAGATGAATCACATCCTACGCCCACTCTTGGATGAATGCGTGGTGGTATACCTGGACGACATCCTCATCTACTCGCGTGACATGCAACAACACGTCCAGCACCTACGACGCGTCTTCGAAATTCTTCGACGAGAACTCTTCTACGTCAAAATATCCAAGAGCGACTTCGCGCTCGAGAAGGTCCTATTCCTCGGACATATCGTAAGCGCTCAAGGAAGTCACGTCGACCCCAAGAAAATCGAAGCCGTGCGTACGTGGAAGACACCCGAGAACGTTAAGGAGTTACAGCAGTTCCTTGGCTTTGCCAACTACTACAACAGGTTCGTGCCACAATACGCGAAGATCGCCACGCCACTCACGAATCTGCTAAAGGAGAACACGCCCTAGAAATGGGAGCCACAACTCCAGGAAGCCGTGGAGCAGCTGAAACAAGCACTCACGTCCGCACCCGTACTCATCTTGCCAAACCCCAAACGCGACTACGTCATCGAAGCTGACGCCAGCGACCAGGCAGTGGGAGCAGTCTTGATGCAAGACCAGGGGAATGGCCTGCAACCAATTGCCTACCTCAGCAAAAAATTACATGGAGCGGAACTCAACTACCCGATACATAACAATGAGGCCCTTGCTATCATTATCGCCTTCAAAGCGTTGAGATGTTATCTCGAAGGACGAAGAACAACCGTCTACACTGACCACTGCAGCCTGAAATACTTGAAGACACAACCCAACCTTTCCATGCGGCAGGTCCGGTGGATCGACTTCCTCGAGACACACTTCCACTACGACATCGTGTACAAGCCCGGCCACAAAAACAAAGCAGACGCTCTTAGCCGGCCTACACATGTTGCCGCTATTCAGATTGAAGGGATGAATCCACTACTCAAGGGACTCTTCACACACGGGTACACCATCGATCCCGAAATTCCCTTGGCAGAAAAGCGACATCTGCTACAGTGGGACAACGACATCGCGTACCGAAAAGGATCAATGAAGATATGGGTACCTAATTACCCTCCATTGCGCCAGTTACTACTCGAAGAATACCACGACGTCCTATACGCGGGGCACTTTGGTAGCAACAAGACGCTCACCGGTATCGCCAAACACTACTACTGGCCCCACATGGCAGATGACGTACAGAAATTCGTCACCTCGTGCACTACATGTCAGCGGATGAAGAGCAGCAAGCATAAAAAGGCGGGTCTACTACAGCCTCTTCCTGTCCCAGAAGAACCATGGCAAGTGGTCAGCCTAGACTGCATCACCGAGCTACCAACTACCACGAGCGGACATGATGCGATCCTCGTCGTCATTGACAAGTTCTCCAAAATGGGACACTTCATCCCCACACACACCACACCACGCACCGAGGAGACGACACAACTCATTGTTCGCTACATCATCTCACAACGTGGCATTCCAACCACACTCATCTCCGACCGAGACCCTAAGTTCACCAATAAATTCTGGAAAGAACTGATGTCTCTACTCGGGACCAAACTCGCCATGTCGTCCGCCTACCATCCACAGACAGGTGGACAGACCGAGCGCCTCAACCAAATTGTGGAGCAACTCCTCCGCGCAGCCTGCAAGGATGACATCTCCAAATGGGACTTTCATCTGCCCGTCCTGGAGTTTGCCTACAACAATGCCACTACTGGACAGACGCCGTTCTTCCTCTGTTACGGACGCCACCCACTCACACCGCAACAGCCAACCATCCCAGCCACAGTCTAACTCGCTCATGATTTCATCACGACCATGCACAAACTTTGGGATCGGATCCACTCGCTTCTGCGGGCCTTTTCTCGTTGAAGCACATGTCACTCCTGTTACCTTCCGCTTACGCCTGCCAGCTATCTGGAAGATTCACAACGCCTTCCATGTCCAACTCTTGAAGCCCTACCGAGATCCCAACATGGTCTTCTCTGGACGCCAACCGCCGCCGCCGCCGCCCGTCCTCGTCCATGATGAACCCGAATACGAGGTCGAGTCTGTGCTTGCTCACCGCCGTCGACGGAATGGCACCGTGGAGCTTCTCATTCGTTGGAAGGGTTATGATCCTTCAGAGGATAGTTGGGTCTCTGAATCCGAGATGGATCACGCTCGTCGTCCTCTTCGCGACTACTTTGTTAAGCATGGTGTTACGTCTACCACCCAGCTTTGAGGGGGGGAAGTGTGAGAGTACGACCCCGTTCCATTTCTTTCTCCTTTCCATTTCATTCACCTTTCCATCTTGATCCATTTTGTTTTTATCTCATTCCATTTGGATTCCTATTTCTCCTTTTCCATAAACCTTTTGTTTATCCGGTTATTATCATTATATCACCGACCAGGCTCGGGATGTACTGGTGCGCTATATCTAGCATAATCCTGCCGTAATCCCTTAAAACCAATAGCCTCGCGTGGCTATACGCAGGGTGATTCTATCTTCTAGAAGGGTCTATTCCCTTGGGATAAGATAAACCTGGTTACCTGATGTACTTTGGAAGTATAAAAGCGCCTTGTACTGATCGATAGTGGAACCTTTCCTCGAGACGAGACATTCGATCCTGTGACAGGACGCAGGGGAAGGAGGTGGGGTGGGGGGTGGGGGAGGGGGGGGGGGGGGTGGTCCAGAATCACACCCGTGGCTAGCGAGCGGGCGGCAGGTCTAACGGCGCCACAGGCGTTGCACGGCCGGCTGCGGCCCGACGACATCGTTACAGAGCGGCGTCGATGCCGCGGCAGGACGTCGACGCTGCGACGGCGGCACTACTGCGCCATCACGCCGCCACGGCTGGACGTCGACGCCACGACAGCGCGATGCCACGGCAGCGCGTCGAGTGGTCGCGGCACGATGTGGCCTGCGGCACGAAGGCGCCGCCAAAGCAGCACGACGGCTCCGTCACGCCGCCACGGCTGGAAGTCGACGCCACGACGGCGTGACGCCACGGCAGCTCGTCGAGACGGCCTCGGCACGACGTGGCCAGCGGCACGACGACGCCGCCACAGCAGCACGACGCGGCTGCCATGGCAGCGCGAGAGGGAGAGAAGGAGTGCGCGGCGGAAGCGTGAGGAGCAGGCCCGGGAAGGGGAACCTGCCCTGTTACCATGTTAAACTAAGGTAGCTTGGAACGGTAGGACGCCATAGAAATGGCAAGAGGTTTTAGTCTAGGAAAGTTGAGAGAAAAGGGGGGTCGAGAATAGAAGAGAGAGGGATGCATGGAGGGAGGTTGTACCCTCTACAGTAGAGTTTAGTAACACCTACCAAGCCTACCAATTATTACGCACCTCGGCGCGTATATCTGGGGGAATACGGTAGTTAGTATACAATACATGTACATTTGTTATAGCCTAGTTAGGTCAGTTCTTAGGGGGTACAACCCCACTCTTGTATCTCTCTCGACATTCCCTCAGTCAACATTTCTCTCGCTACTCAACATCATGGGCTGGCTGTCTACAGCGCCTCTTGCACTGCTAAAACAAATGCCACGCCATGCCGTGAGTCCATGACACACAAGGGACTGATTGAGAGGCAAAGCTTGCTTCTTCTCCTCATGCGTGGCAAAGGAATATACAAATTCATTCTACCGTAAACCAACAGGTGCCTGCCACTTCATACGGGAAATCCCTAATGAAATACTCGTGAAAACCTTCTTTCTCTGGTCTGGTGCCTTATCTTCCGCCCCCTCCTCCCCTTGCTCTTCCTGTATTCCGCCCCGCTTTCCCTTCACCTTCCGATCTTCTTCCCCAACTCCTCTTGCTCCTGCCATCATCTCCCCCTTCCACCCTTGCTCCTCTCAATCATTGCCCGGATCTTCCCCCGCAGTATCGACCGCGCAGTGTACCTCAGCGAAAACGCATACGACTCGTTTTTAGTCACAGCCCCCCCGGTTGTGCCCCGCCCATCACACGGGAAATACCACAGCCGCACGCTCATCCCACACGCCCGCGCTAGAGACTCCTTCATTGGGCGGGTGCGGTAGTCCCTGCCCACCTCCCACATGCACCCGCACTCGCCCGTGTTGGCCTGGAGCGGGGAGAAGTCCGGGTGGTAGAACTCCAGCAGCCCCAGGGAGCGGAACGCCTCGTGCCACGTGAAGTAGAGCCCCGTGCCGCAGATGCGGTCCATCGCCTCCAGCTTGCACCGCCGCCCGTACCCCAGACCTGGGGGGGTTGAGAGTGAGAGTGAAAGAGTGGAGTTTGGGTTTGGAGGGAAGGGGGGAGAAGGGGGGAGAGGGGGGAATGAGGAGGGGGAGTGGGGAGAGAAGGGTGTAGGGGGAGAGATGGGTTGGTTGAGGGGAGGACGAGCAATGAGTGAGGATGTGTTGGAGGAGGATGGCAGGGTGTGGAGCAAGCCATGTGAGGGTGTAGCGAGAGTGGCGCATGGGATGTGAAGCAGAGCCCTGTGCTGCAGATCCGGTCCATGGCCTCGAGCTTGCACCGCAGCCCGAAGCCCAGACCTACAGAACGGTGCAAAGTCTGGGATTTTAAGACACGTAGCCTGGGGGCAAAGCAGGCGGGCAGGCGGGCAGGTGGGGTGGGGAAAAGCGGATTCCAGGGATGATGAAAAGTGCGTGAGGGTATGGGATGGGATGGGAGAGACATGGGGGCAGTTGATGAAATATGCACTCTGCTCACGAAACGCCCCACCAACAATAAGCACATGCGCATTTAGGCAGGAGAGGTGAAGGGAGGAGGAGACCTGAATAGGCAGGGTGGGAGGCCTTAAAGCCCAGATCCCAAATTAGCTCCGCAAAGTCAATGCGAGGTAGGTAGACTGGGCAGGAGGCAAGAAAAAACGAGACGATTGGGTGCGGAAAAATGCAACTCGTTCACTTGGCGAGTGGTTTCGTAAGCAAACTGGGCCTTGGTTGATTTGGGGGTTTCACATCGCCCATTTTGAATCTGATGGCTGGGACGCAGGGACACATGAAGTCCCAAAATAGAAGCACAAGCACAGCCGTAGATCTAAAAGGGGGCCCAGCTTCACTGAATCTAGAGGCTGGTTTGAAAAGGCCGATCCGACAGCAGGAACTCAACGACGCAACGAGTTCCATTAGATTTCAACCGTGGATTCCGCAAGAGTGGATTTACCTCTGGTTTGTGACGAAGGTTTCTTTATTTTAAGAGTAACCCAAAGCGCAGTCTGCATCAAAGTGAGTCCAGTTTGATCCTAGTTTGATTTATTTGGGACTTGGGCTTTAATCTGAACGATGCAGGTAGAGGCAGGTGTGGAATGGGAACAGCAGGAAGCAAGCGTGTACCTGGGTGGAAGCTAGCACACACCTGGGCAGAAGAAAGCACAGCTGGGCAGAAGAAAGCACACACCTGGGAAGAAGAAAGCACACAGCTGGGCAGAAGAAAGCACACACCTGGGCAGAAGAAAGCACACAGCTGGGCAGAATAAAGCACACAGCTGGGCAGAAGAAAGCACACACCTGGGTGGAAGCGGTGGGGGGAGTCGTTTCGGAAGCCCAAGTGTCCCTCCCACTGGAGGGGCGCGTGGGGCTGCAGGTCCCGGTAGAGCGTGCTGCCGTTGAGCCACTGGGGCGACTGGGGGCCGTCCACCTTCGCCACTGGGATCTGATGCATGGGGGCGAGGGCGGAGAGGGAGAGGAACCGGTATAAAGAAGAGGCATGTCACAGTAGAGCGTGTGCAGAGCGTGCTGCCGTTGAGCCACTGCGGCGACTGGGGCCGTCGACTATCACTACTGGGATCTGATGGGTGGGCGCAGGGTCGCAAGCACATGGCATGCATCTCTGGAATTTTTTTTGAGGCGCCTCAAAAGCAAATGGCATGCATCTCTGGAAAAAACAGCCAGCCCCTCCTCCTTCCCCCAACCCCCCTTTCACACCCCCTCTTCCTGGAAAAACAGCCCCTCACCCTCACACGCTGCAGTTGTTCTTGCCATGCGCCTCGCACCAGAGAGCAGCAGCAGCAGCAGCAGCAGCAGCAGCAGCAGGAACAAAAGCAGTGAGCGTGAATGAATCCCCACACTTCCGATTTCCCTGTGCTGTGAACAAGTGGTCGCTGAAACGCTAGCAAGTCATTATCCCGAGCGCATGTCCTTTTTTATTAAACACAAAACACACCTCCCGAGATTCACTCCTCCCATTTCCTCCTTTCCCCCCCCCCTTCCCTCCCCCTCCCCTACCCCCCTCTCCCCTCCCCCTCCCCTGCCAACTCCCCCTCCGCCCCATTCGAAAGCACCCCCCAAGCCTGCCCTCACATTCTCACCTTGAGGTTCTTTTTCCCCGCAGCCTCGTGGCGGGCGGCAGCAGCGAGGATGAACCCCCACATCTCGGCCGTGAAGAAGTGGTTGCCGTCCAGCGGCAGCACCCACCGCGCACCGTGCGCTATGCCGTGCTCGATCATGTAGTTGCGCACCTCATTCAGCTCTGAAGGGGTGGGGTGCGGCGGGTAGGGGGGAGGGGGGAGGGGGGAGGGGAGAGGGGAGAAGGGAGAGGGGAGAGGGGAGAAGGGAGAGGGGAGAGGGGAGAGGGGAGAGGGGAGAAGGGAGAGGGGAGGCGGGGAGGCGGGGAGGGGGGAAGGGGGGGAGGGGGCCGAGAAGGGTTTAAGGTGTAGGGGTTAGGTTTGGAGTGGGTGCTTACGATATGTGCGCTATGCCATGCTCGATCATGCAGCGCCACACACCTCATTCAGCTGCAATGCTTGGAGAGAGATGAAGCATGCGGGGGAGCGGGGAGATCAGCGCCTTGTGGCGAAAGGTTGGGGAGAGGCGCCTGGGGCAGAAAAGGGTGAGAGGCGGACAACCCCAGGCCCACACACTCACGTGCTAGGCACACACTCACGTGCTAGGCACACTCACCTGCTAGGGACACACTCACCTGCTAGGGACACACTCACCTGCTAGGGACACACTCACCTGCTAGACACACACTCACCTGTCACCGCTTCCAGCCATTGATCCTCCCGCAGGGAGGCGAGGCGGGTGTAGTTAATGCGAAACACTAGGATGTCCTGAGAAGGCGGATCGTGGGGGGGGGGGTTGGGGGGGAGATGTGGGGTGAAAGGAGAAACGGATGGGGAGGAAGTGAAGAGGAGAGGCAGTAGGGGACGGATGGGGAGGAAGGCGGAGGAAGGGGAAGTCAGGGGGTATGGGAACTTGAGAAGATCCTGGTTTCAGGTGCCACAACGCACGCAAGTAGCAGACGCAAAATGACTTTTGAGTCGACTAAAAAATGCAGGGCTATCAAACGGCGAGAAACTGGCAAAGGAGGAGGGGGGGTTGTATAGAGGAGAATGCAAGAGAGAGGGGGAGAGGGTTGGGGAAGGACGCAAGGGCAAGGCGGGGAACGATTTAGACGGAAGAAAGAGCCGGGAGGAGGTTATGAGGTTATGACGGAATGAGAGGCCAGGGGTGGTACATGGTTAGGGGTGGTACATGGTTAGGGGTGTTACATGGGAAGAGAGGGAGGGAGAGAGGGAGGGAGGGAGAGAGGGAGGGAGGGAAGAAAGGGAGGGAGGAAGCGAAGCAAGCAAGGGAGGGGCGAGTGGCCACTGACGTCCATTGTGTAGCCGTGGTTGAGCAGCAGGTCCAGCGTCATCCTCTCTACAGTGCTGTTCACTATATTGTTCAGCACCCACAGGCGCCGGCACCCGGGCAGGTGCTTCGGCTCGTACTGCAGCGTGTACTGTAAGTTGTTGTACAGCTGGCCCTCGCATTGTAACGGCGGCATGTCGTTCCCGATCATGCGATACAGGAAGATACGTGGCACGCTGTGAGTGGACAACACGCTCGCGCTGCTCATCCCGAAGCTCGTCTCCTCCGTCGTGTGGGTCGCGTGGCGTAGCGGAACGGGAGTAGCGGGAAATAGGTATCCTTTTCCCACTGCGACTAGCATGACTATAACGAGGACGGTCGCTGACAGAGCTGCACAGGCGAGCCGCGATAGAAGCGCAGCTCGTCTTTTCTTGAGGGGGATTCGAGGTCCCGGAGAGGCGTCGGATTCGAGGAGAACCGTCGTCGCGTGGGCAGCGACGGTGCTATCCTCAAAGAGCAGCGACGACCATGGTAAACTCCAGCGCTTACGGAAGTTCTGCTTACTCGCTGCTACTGCTGCCATGAGGACGGACTCTGACCCGGAATCGGGATCTCTGCCGAGAGGATACTGCAGTGGGCTAAGAAGAGAGTTTGGCTTGAGCAAAGGGACTGGCTTGAGCAAAGGGACTGGCTTGAGCAAATGGAAACTTGATGGGTGATACTCAGAACAGGGATAGTAACATTATGCAGTCGCTGTTCTTTTCGCGGTGGCAGGGTGGCTGGTCGGAGAGTGGCGCGGGGTCTACGAAGCAAGATAAATTATGGGCAACTGAGGAATCTATCAGTACTAATCGCCACTAATGATCTCATCAAGCAGCAGCAGGCAAAGAATCCCGGAAGTAAACGAACCGGAAGGCTCGGTCAGACAGCCATTAGCAGACCGAACGGGGAGGGTTCCTGCCTTGGAACGGCCCGTTTGAATGACGCGGCCTGCGGGGCGCGTGTTGATTGGTACGGCAGAGACTAGGCTGTGGCAGTAGGTTTTCGGCCGTGGCTCGGTGTGTCAGACAAACCTGATATCCTTTCTGCCAAGCGAGGTGACGTGGCTGGTACACTTACAATATACCAGAACAATAGGGCACACACTCATTACATTCTTATGCTTCACATCACAACTTCATTATTGAACAATAGAAATTGTATGGAATGAGAGTTGGCTAACCTAAGCTGGCTTTTGAGCACTCACAATAAATAAGCCTAGCAGCATACTCAGCAGCATTTACATCCCACTGATCTTCCAACCAGACTTAAATCCCTTCTCTTGTGCTCCAAACCATCACCTCCTCTTCTTGCCACCTCCTCTCCCTGGTCTCTCTCAATTCGAGACATTTCCATTCGATTTCCTAAAAATTAACATCCCAGTTCATAACCGTTCATGTTAGAAACCAGGCAGCTACTACTGCATGTCTGCATCCAACTCCCCCTTCAACTCTTAGATTATCTCACACGTCAGTGCTACCTGCCCCACCACAACGCCATGATATGATTTCCTTCCCACTGGCCAGCACTTCTCGTCACAGCCATTGCACCGTACAGCCTTGTGCCGTGCATGCTCGCTCCCTCCTCCCCCTGCCTTCTGAACACTGCAGCAGCTAGGCAGTGCACTACACTGTCGCATATGCTCCATTCCTACCACATCACACATCCTACATCCCACAACCCACATCCCACATCCCACGCCCCACACCTCCCACGTCTCACATCCCACCACTTCCAATTTGAACATCTCCCCACAGCCGACAGCCTTCAAACACCCCCCTCCGATCCCTCTCTGCCCCTCCCCTCCTGTCTCCATGCCTCCACTCCACTCTCCCCTCCCACTCTTCACTTCTCCCCCCCTTTCACTCCTCGACCACCCTCTCTTCCCACACACCCTTTGTCTCCCTTTCCCCTCCCTCCCCCGCCACCCCCCCTCCTCCCCTCCCCTCCCCCCAACCCTCATTTGGGCGTTCTGGGCGCCTTAGGCGTCATGCCACCAGCAGACCCCCCTGAGGCCGAGGGCGGTGGGCACACATACCCTGTCTGCATCACCTGTAGCGGCTTCACCACACTACTCATCATGGGCTGCTCATACGGGTTCCTAGCCGCGCAGTGCAGCACCAGCAGCTCCAAACCTCGAGATTTGAAGCCTCTGAGGAGTCAACCCAGCCCCAGCCCCAGCCCCAGCCTCATCACTGGGGTGTCCTGGGCGTCCTAGGCGTCGTGCCACCACCACCACCAGCAGACCCCCCCGAGGCCAAGGGAGGCCACACATACCCCGTCTGCATCACCCGTAGCGTCTTCACCACACTACTCATCATGGGCCGCTCATACGGGTTCCTCGCCGTGCAGTGCAGCACCAGCAGCGCCGCCTTCTGCACCCCCCGAGCCGGCCACTCCCTCCCGAGCCTCGGGTCCATCACCTCCTCCACCCGCTTCCGATCCGCCAGCATAGGCTCGGCCCATTCCAGCAAATCCCCCTCGTCCTCCTCCTCGTCGTCCTCCGCCTGCTCCCCCTCCAGGACCTCGCTGCTGCCCCCCCTCCCCGCCCCCCCGCTGCGCTTCCTCGACTCGTCTTCCTCGTCCGTGGGGAAGTCGCTGGCCTGCCGGCCCGACAGCAGCTCCAGTAAAAGCACCCCAAAGCCGTACACGTCGCTCTTGGGGGTCAGGTGCCCTGGGTGGTAGGGAAACCCGGGGGAAAACAGCGGGGGAAAGAGGTGTGTGTAGGAGGGTGTGCGTAGGGGGGAGGACTCCAAAGCCGTACATGTCACACTTGGGGTCAGGTCAGGTGCCCTGAACAAGTTCCGAAAAGGGCAAGGAGAAGAGGGTGGAAGACGGAAGGAAAGATGGTTTGTGGGGGGGGAGGAACGGGGGGTTGCACGGGGGGGAGAAGAAGGGAGGGGGCGGGTTGGGCCAAGGAGCACAATACTTGCTGCAAGCAGGGATTGATGGTGCCCGCACGAGCAGTAATCTGAGCAGGAGCAGGAGCAGGAGTGCTACAGCATGCATGCGTACCAGTGAAGAGGTAGTCGGGGTCGGCATACCCATACGTGCCCACCACTTGCGTGGTCACGTGTGTCTTATCCCCCACTGGCCCGTCCTTCGCCAGCCCAAAGTCTGCCAGCTTCGGGTTGAAATCCTGCACGGCAGGGCGGGGAACCAGGGAGGACGGCTGATTGTGCAAGAAGGGGTTTCGAGTACAGGATCACAGAGCAGAGAGCCAGAACCCCCACCACCAGACTTAAGACCCCACGTCCGAACCACTACATGATCGCCTTAACCAATCGCCCCTTTATAGAAGGTGAGAGGGTGGGTCTTTCCCTTCCCTTACCCTGCCTTCGAGTTGAAGCGTCCACTCACTCATCAGCTCTCTTGTCCACTGACTTCTGGCCTGCTTTTTGAGGCGCCTCATTTTTGAGGCGCCTAAAAAATTGTCACTGACTTCTGCTCTGCTTCAGGCGTGCCTCACGCGCCAGAAGAATCCCCTTCCCCACCTCGCTTTAGAAGCACAACGACTTGCGCAGAGCCTCAAGGCCCACACCTGAGACACCCCACCTTGTCCCCCCACCCCCCACTTGTCCCCCTCCCTCCCCCACCTTGTCTTACCCTCACCTTGTCCCCCCACATCCCCTCACTTTTCCCCCCCCCCTCCCCACCTTGTTCCCTCCCCCCTTGCCATGTCCCCCCCATAACTTGTCCATCCCCCTCTACCGTGTTCCCCCCACCACTTGTCCTCCCCCCTCTACCGTGTTCCCCCCACCTATTATCCTCCCCACCCCCTTCCCCCTACGTTTCCCAGCGGCACGTTGACAGAAAAAAGCAACTAGTCTCTATAGCCAAGCCACACCCCTGCCCCCCACCCTCGACAAGGAGCCAAGCCAACCCATCCGCACCTTGCCGAGCAGCTCGTTGGCGGCCTTGAGGTCGCAGTCGGGGCGGTCGGATGTATCTAGTTGCCCATTGGGTCAAACCACCAGCACCCCACGTTTTCCAACCTCCTCCCCCCCCCCCCCCCATCCCCACCCCCCAATCCCCATCCCCACCCCCCCAATCCCCATCCCCACCTTTTCGAGCAGCCTCTACCGCCAAATCCCCAGCAAATTCCTCTCCCTCCCCCCAACCCCCCCCATCCCAATCCCCATCACCAGCAAGCTCCTCTCCCCTCCTCCCCCCCGCCCCCCATCCCCATCCCCATCCCCATCCCCATCCCCATCCCCATCCCCAACAAACTCCTATCCGCACCTTGTCCAGCAGCACGTTGGCAGCCTTGAGGTCGCGGTAGATGATGGGGCGGTGCGGGTTCTCGTGCAGGTACACCAGGCACTGCGCCACGCCCAGCGCTATGCGCATGCGCAGCCCCCACGGCAGGGGTGCTCCCTCGTCTGGGGGGAGCAGAGGGAGGGAGACTTGGTTAGTACTGGCAAGGCATTCCCCACGCACGCTCCCAGCGGTATGCGCATACGCAGCCCCCATGGCAGGGGGGCGCCCTCGTCTGGAGGAGGGATAAGGACGGGAGAAAAGACGAGGCTTTATGAGGCGAGGAGAAACACAGAGCAACACGCATGCGCAACCCCCATGGCAGGGCGGCGCCCTCGTCTGGAGGGAGGGGGGATGGAAGGGAGGGGACGGAGGGGAGGGGGAGGAGGGAGGGCGGGAGGGGGGGAGGGAGGCCTGGTTAGTAGCGGAAAGGCATGCCCCAAGCGCGCAGCACTATGCGCATGCGCAAGAGCCCCCGGCAAAAAGGTCACCACAATAGGAAGGGGTGGGAGGGAGAGGAGGGAGAGGAGGGACGAACAAGTGCGAGTGGAAAAGAGTTGCCTTCTTGAGGGGCTCCAAAACCGCATAGCGGTGCGCATGCGCATACCCCACAACAGGGGCTTTTCCATATCTGGAAGGAAAAGGGTGGTAAAGGGGGGTGGAGGAGAGGATGGATGGGGGAGGGAGGGGATAACAAAAGATCAGCAAGAGACGACAAACCATGCCATGCCATGCCATGCCATGCCATGCCATGCCAGTCCACAAGGGCCCATGGCTAGCTAGCCACTTAGGATCAAATGACGAGAATGAGTACTCCTTGCCTTGGATGCCGTGACCACTGACCATACGCATGATTCAACGAAAGTTGGTTCTTGAGAAAATTTCAAAAACCAGGTAGCCACTTTGGATTAAATGACGTGAATGACAACTCCTCCTTGCCTTGTCAGCATGCAGTGCCGTGCCGTGACCGTATGCTCGAATGTTGATTCCATGAAAGGGTCGCACGCACTCACCTGCGAAGAGGTAGTGGTCCAGCGAGCCCCCTTCCATGAGCTCATACACCAGCAGCCGCGAGCCGCCCTCCATGCAGTAGCCGATCAGCGTCACCAGGTTGGGGTGCCGCAGCGTGCCCAGCATGTTCACCTCCGCCTTGGTGGGGGTGAGGGGGGGAGAGGGGTGGAGAGGGGTGGAGAGGGGTGGAGAGGGGTGGAGAGGGGTGGAGAGGGGTGGAGAGGGGGGGAGAGGGGGTGGGGCGGGGGAAAGAAAGCATGAAAGGAACGGAATGGGGGGAACGTAATGGGGGGAACGGAGTTGTGGGGAGGAGGAGAGGTGTCGCATCGAGCCGCCCTCCATGCAGTAGCCGATGAGCATCACCAGGTTGGGGTGCCGCAGCGTGCCCGGCGTGTTCACCTCCGCCTGGAGGGGGGAAGGTTGAGGGGGGGAGGGGGTGGAGGGGGGGAAGGGGGGGGAGGAGAAAAGGAAGGGACGGGGGCGAACAGGGTTGTGTTGGGTGGAGAAGGAGGAGGGGTGTTGCAAGGAACCGCCCTCCATGCAGTAGCCGATGAGCATCACCAGGTTGGCGTGCCGCAGCGTGCCCAACATGTTCACCTCCGCCTATGGGGGGAGGGAGGAAGGAGGAGAGGAGGGGGGGGAGGGCGGGGGAGGGCGGGGGAGGGGGAGAACGGGGGAAAGGATTGGAATGGATCGGAATGGGGGGAACAGGGCTGTGTGTGGGGTGGGGGGGGGGGGGGGGGGGGTGTGGGGGATGAAAGTGGAGGAAGGAAACAACAGGGGGGATGCGTGCGGAGGGGAGGGGACGGGGGGAAGGGAGGGAGGAGGACTGGGAAGCTGCAGGGTGGTCAGCATGTTCGCCTCCGACTTTGGGAAGGGGGGAGAGGGAAAGGGGAGAGGACAGACAGGGTTGGGGGAAAGAGGGGGTGTGTGTGCAAAGGGGGGGTGCTGCACCATGTTCACCTCCGCCTTTGCGGGGGAGGGGGAGAGGGGGAGAGGGGGAGAGGGGTAGAGGAGGAGGGGGAGAGGGGAGGACGGAAATCGGGGAGAAGTGTGGGGAGGAAGGAGGGGTGCTGCAGCAGCGTGCCTGGCTGCTCACCTCTGCCCTTTTGGGGGGGGGTGGGGGGGGGGAGAGAGGGGAATCATAAGGTTAGGGGTTGTGATGCGGACGGGGGGGGAGAAGCAGGCGGGTGTGTGAAAGTAGAAATAGTGGGGGGAGGGGGGGAGTGTGTTGGGGCGGGGGAGTGGGAATGGGGGGGGGGTGGGAATGACGGCGGGGTGGGAAGGACGGGGGGGTGGGAAGGATTTGGCACAGAAAAGAGTGGGCATTGGCTGGGTGGGGAAGAGGGAGGGGGTGGGTGGAACAGAAGTAGGGGGAAGGGCACGTTACAGAAAGGGCACGGGGAACATGAAAGGGAGAGAGCTTCAAAGCTGGAGTGGGGAAAGGAGGGCCGAGGAGACGGGGGAAAGGGGATGACGGACGGAGGAAGGGGGGGGGTGGGGCGAGCGAGGGCAGCACGGTAGCGTACCATCCATTCCTTGTGGCCCTGCAGCCCGTCTTCGTTGAGCTTCTTCACCGCCACCACCATGCGCCCATCCGTCTCCTCACCCCCCCCTCGCCCGCCTCGCCCCCCTCCCCCCCCACCTCCCCCAACCGCAATCACCCCTTTATACACCGATCCGAACCCCCCTTCACCGAGCTTAAGGTCCTTTCTGAACCCGCACGTGCCCTCCCTCAACTCTCCGTAGGAGAACGATCTAAGCCCCTGGGATGACGCGTGGCTGCAGTAGTTAGCCAGGTCGTCTGCTGCCGTGGGCAGCACTGGCCGCAGCGGCGGCTGCTGCTGCGGCTGCTGCTGCTGCTGCTGGTTGTTGTACCCTTGGTCTTGCAGCGTCACCGGCCCCGGGGGGGAGATGGGCGCGCCAATGGAGCTCGGACACGTGGCGGAAGCGGTGGAGGAGGGGGAGGCGGGCTGGGGGATGGCTATGGACGGGTGGTAGTTCGGCTGCTGCTGCTGCTGCTGCTGCTGGTTGGAGTTGCTGCCTCCACTATTTCTGCTGCCCGCGCTGCTCTTGCTGCCTCCGCTGTTTCCGCTGTTTCTGCTCGCTCTTCCAGCTCCATTCACCCCCCCCTCGCTGCCCTTGGGGGAGACCCCATCCGCGGAGCGGAAATTCCCCGCAGGGGGAACGGCGGGGGCGGAGGCAGCAGACACAGCAGCGGAGGGGGAAGTCGCGAGTGGATTCGAAGTGCTTGGGTGGGCTTGACTTGGCTCGGAAGGATCCGGACCTGATTGAGAGGCAGGGAGGAGGTCCGCCGCCCGCAGGGTAGGATAAGAGGTTGGGTTGATCTAGCTGGTCGGGACATGCGAACTCTGGTGGAATGACTAGGGCAGAGTGAACCTGAGTGAGCCAGAGCGAGCCAGAGCGAGCCAGAGCGAGCCAGAGCGAGCCAGACTAAACCAGAGGGTGATTGTATGACAGTCACTAGAGAGGAGACGACGAGACGAAATGGATAACGCGGGTAACCGAGAAGGCACCTGGCAGGGCAACACGCGGCAGCATGAGGCATCAGGAGGCGTCAGGAGGCAACAGGAGGCGGATCGAAACCCTAAACGTTATGACCCTGAGAACTAACTAACTACAACTCGATTCCGTTCTAACTGCTACGGCGCAATCGCGCCGGAACGATACTAGACGGCCCAGCCTGGCGAGTCGCTGACTGTCCGGGGATTTCTGGCAACTAATTATGCGGCCGAGAATGATCGTAAGTGGGTCCTCTTTTGAGTCGACTCTAAATCCGTGGACTCGTGCCGACAGACAGTCAGGTGGCCAGTCACGAATGTTAGTCGGTGGGCCAACTCACCTTGAAAACTATTCTTGAGGGGGCTAAAAAATAGGCAGTCAGTCACGAATGATGGTCAGTGGGCCGACCCACTCACCCTGAGGGATGTCAGTGCCGGGCTCGACGTCCGTTCTCCGCTGTTCTTGCTGTTCTTGCTGCTGCTTCTGCTGTTGCTGCTGCTGTTGCTGGTGCGGCTGCTGCTGCTGCTGCTGCTGCTGCTGCTGCTGCTGCTGCTGCTGCGGTTGTTGCGCCTGGTTCGCTGTTTTTGGAGAGTGCTTCTCGCCAACCACCCGCGTCTCAACGGAGAAACAGCTCCCCATCTCCGCCTCCGCCTCCTCCTCCTCCTCCACTTCCGCCGCCGCCGCCGCCGCCGGCGCTGCCCTAAAGGCGCGGGCGAGCCGGAGCTATGACCGCAGGAACCGACGGGATTCACGCGGAAATTGGAGGGAGAACGGAAGAACGGACGAGAGAGAAAACGAGCGAAAAGGGCCAATGCGCGCGGAGGAGCTACGAGGTTATTAGTGTTGACGAAAGCCCCACGGAGGAGGCACTCGTTACGAGAGAGAAGCTAGAGACGCCGATGATTATGTATATAAATATTTAAAAAAAAAAGCACGAAAGAAAATCTAAACTTGTCGCAAGGTACAACTGTCACGAACACTCTGCCGGCTTCTTGGGTTGCGCATACTCTGTATGTTCGCTGTTGCTGCTCTGCATGATATCAAGAATCTATTATTACTGCTCCTCGCAGCAAAGCAGTAGCCTGACATTTACATACTTCCGATCGACTGAACAGAACAGCACTGAACTGAGCTGAACATTGAGTGAGCATTAACTGAACAGCGCGAAATCAGGTTCTTGCTGCATAAGCCATGGCCAGACCGTAAGCTAATCGTCAGTCCAACCTGGCGATCGCTCAGCCTGACGCGCGTTGCAATCGCCTTCCTGGAATTAGTGGAATCAACTTACGGGCAGCAGCACCCCCCTACTGTCCCACCAGCTTTCTTGTGTTGGGCCATCTGCCATCTGCTGTGCTGAGTGTCTGCCTGTATTACAGTACACACGCTGTAAAGTAAAACAGACGACTACACCAGTGCCATGCTAGACTTTTGTTGGTGCCTTCTGGTGCTGTGCCTACACTAGTACGGTACAGCAGTAGCCTGGCAGCCACACAATAGAATCCCCCGTTAAGAGCACGCATCACTTGGGCCTGGGAGGGGGAAAACTACTGCCGCGGACTGTCCACGAAAACTTTCATACTTTCATGGACAGGCCCTACTTTCATGGACAGCACATCGAACTCTCCCTTCTGCTGTGAACTTCATCCATACTTTCGTGGACTCCGGGCATACTTCAATGGACAGACACGAAATTGCGGAAAAAAGGCGTAAACAGAACTGTACAAGTGGTGACGGGTGCAAAGAGGAAAAAACAGAAACTCGGCGCGTCGCAAAGTGTCATAAGCTACAGTGCCTCCATACCAGATCCGAAACAGAAGGTACGCTTTCTCTCAATATGACAGTCCGGTACAAAGGGCACCCACGCTTAAAGGCGAAAAAATGGGTGCTTGAAGATTTCTTCAACAAGAGCCAGCATGATATGCACAAATTTGAACTCTTTAGTAATACAGTACTTTCATTCGTTGTTTGAGTTTTTCTTTGAAAACTAAATGGATGCATAATAGAGCTAAGGACATCACAATATAGTTTGATGGTTGGTTAACTATTTATAATCGGAATCAATTTATAGTTACAATTTGAAATGGTTACGTTAGAGCATGTGATTAATTCAAATTTTGAAATCAATGTATAGATATGCTATCAACTTGACTGGTTGCGGCTACTGTAGCTGGCGACCCTTTGCAACGGTTCCTAATTTGGCATTTTTGTTTCCCTGCCCGTTATCACTTGTACAGTTCTGCTTACCCTTTTTACTGCATTTTTGCGTGTCCATGGAAGTATTTGCGTTTCCACTAAAGAAGGGAGGTGGCCTATGGGAGATCGAAAACTTCGATGTGCTGTCCATGAAAGTAGAGCCTGTCCACAAAATTATAAAAGTTTTCGTGGACAGTCTGCTGCAGTAATGTTCCCCCTGGAGGGCTGGCCACTGGACAGCATCTTTCTTTTCTCAGCCTCCCTCTCAGTCACAAGGGTGTATCTGGAACTCGAGTCTAAGACGAGGCTGACACGAGGTTGAAGGAGCCAAGCCTTTTGAATCCAAAAATGCCGCGTCATGAAGCGTATAAAACCCGTGGCTCTTTCCATTGCGGGTCAGATCGTGTCAGAAAAACTAATAACAATGCGCCCTCAGACAAATTCACTCATTCGCTCCTTCCTGTCACCTCCGCTCTCCCTGGCCCCACCACTTCACCCCCTCGCTGATCAACCATTGCTTCGGTGCCTCAACGGAGTGTACCTTCCGAGTTGCTCTTGGTTTCCAGGCGGCAGTTGTACTGACGATTATGGGAAAGGAGTATGGTGGATCCACACTTTAACCCTAAGGGCGGGTCCAAATGGTTCAAGTAGGTGTTTTGGACACGTTTTTACGAACTCGAGTACAACAGCTGAAAACGATGCCAAAATCGTTTCCCCCTCAAACCACGTCCCATTTTGCGAATGAAAATAGAAGCTGGCGCCAACCGGGTACGTCGCAGAAAACAGTTTGCCCAAGACACCCCAAATCACAGTTACCAAGTAGCGTTGCCCGCTATTTCAATGTTTCGTGATGGGTTGGATGGCAGGTGCGATTTGATGTTGCGTCACGCGAGCTGTTCGCGAGGTCGCCTCGTTCTCGCTAACCAGGATTGGCGAAAGCGCCACACGTGTCCACCCGCCCCCAAACGTACACCTACCGCTACCCGAATCGTAAACGAATATTTGCTGGGGTGCATGTACCTTCACATGCGTCGAGTGTCCCGAGTTACGGCAATTTCGCGCACGTGTCCTCGCGAAATCAAGACGAGGTTAAAATCGGGTTACTTAACGAAAAGATAAGGTATGAACTATTTGGACAGAATGAAAACGAGTTCACCAGATGCCTGAAGCACCCACATAAAGTTTTGCGGATAATTTGTTGTTCGTACAGTAAATCTAACCCACTAGTGCGCGTCCAATAATCTGCAGACGCATCATCCAGATGAATTCCTTCCAGTTACATTCTCCGGAAAATATATCGGTATTCAATATTAGGAGCCCCGATAAAACGTACGGACAGCAAAACTTGTCGACTCAATCAGTTTTAGCGAGCTTTCTAACACGTTTCATCAGTTGGAGAGTGGCGTGGAAGTAAGAGTTCACGGCAATCCATCCATGATTAGGATAAACAAATTATGTCTGGTATGTCCCATACACCGCATATCCCACGACTAGGAAGAAATCACCGTATAATTAAATTGATTATCATATCCATTATTCGTCACACAAGAAAGCATAGCAACCTAGATCGATCTTGTCAGGGAAATCAGACCTAATCGATTGTTGGGGCAGCCTTACAAGACCACCGCCGTAGCAATAAAATCAGGGAAACCAGATCCCTAGCAATAATCTGCACGACCACCAGTTGTGGAATTCAAGGTGACAGCTGAAAGAGCCTCAAGAGACTGGAGAGAAACAGATAGGTGCCCGAGACTGGGGACCCGCCATGCATGTAGACCAGCGACTAGGCATGCGAGACAGTGTGGTGGAGGGGTCTAAAAACGACCAGGTTCTCTCATGCGCATCCAGCTCGAATCCCCCAAGGAACACCACATACCACCCTCTCCAACTGCCGCATCCATGGTAGTCTGCCTCCTTGGCACCCAACCCAACTCAGTGGATCTCTGCCCCACCCCACCCCACCTCACCCCGCCCTGCCCCCCCCCCCCCCCCGGCCGCCCCTGCCTGCCCTCGCCTGATGCTGCTACTGCTCATCCACGCTCCGCTCCGGCGACAGTCAATCTCTGCATGGAGTATGCTAGCACAAACCGTGCGTGCCACAGGCTGGAAGAGCAAGGCACAGATACAAGTACAAAGAATGCTGCTTCGCCGGATGGTCCCGTACATTCAGGGAGCCGAAGCTGCGCAATGCGCGAGTGAAGGATGAACGTAGCAGGAGGACGAGAGCCAGTGGGTCCCTGACGGGCTCTGCCTGAGGAGCCTGAGAAGAGAGGCAGCAAGGATTGAAGGGGCAGCAAGGATTGAAGGGGCAGAAAAAGGTTGGTGGGAAGCAGGGCGGATGGGAGGAACAGGTGGAGCAGCAAGGGAGGAGGGCAGAGAGAGAGGAGGGCACGAGGGCATGAGGTGGTAGTTCTCCAGGTGGTGAGCACAGGGCGGGACGGGGCGGAAAGGGTGGTGAGAGGGCATACCAGGGGGAGACGGGGGGTGGGAAGGGGGGAGGGGGAGCTTGGGTAGGCCAAAAACGGTAAGACAGGGCCAGGCAGAGAGGTGTGTGCAGAACAGAAAGGTCTGAAAGCTACCTACCTACCAGCGGTACGGACGGCTGCTGCACGTCTGCACAGAGAAGGTACATGCATGGCAGCACACCTAGCGGCAGGCAACACACCACTCTAGCTGCTCTCCGTTCTCTCTTGCTCCGTTTTGTCCTAACTTTGTCTCCACCCTCCCAATCATGTAGTTTGTCTGCCAGTTACACTCCAACTGTAGTTGGCAGTAAGAATCACCAACTCTAGATGGCTGCGCATGGCAGTCAAACTGCACACGGAGAAACCTCAAAGCTGCGCTTCCAACAAAAAAAAGAAAAGAAAAAAAAAAAACTGACGTGTGCACTTTTCCCTCGCAAATGACACCCGTCTTTCCACCATCATTAACAACTTGTGTCAACCTTTGAGGTCAGTGCGCGTTGGTTGGTTGGTTGGTTGGTTCCATGCCTGTCTAGTCTCGAGGAGAAACAATCAGCACACTCCACTCTGCACCGCAGCACTCTCGATTTCGACCGACCAAGAAACCAACACCACTGAAAGACCGTACCTGCCGTACCTGCGATGGTCCGAGCATGCATCTGTGCAGCAGCCTTTGAATCGGCTCAAAGCAGACTTCCACCTGCCGTACCTCCTGTGATGGTCCGAGCATGCACGCGTACAGCAGCTGCCGACGACTCACGAGTCACGCAGCCTCGAACCTTTTGGTGCCTCAAATTCGTAGCCTGTGCTACTACGTGGCACGTGCATACCAGTGGCCACAGCACTCATACCAAGCGCGCATACCGTGTTAGGTGACCGAGGGCGATCGTCTAAACATGCGCGCCGCTGCTGACTCACGCAGCCTCGACGCGCCAAGAGCCATGCCGCCCGCCAGCCCTCCCTTCTTCTTGCTCCCTTCCGCCACCCCTGCAGCAGCAGCATCGGAGCCTGTCAAAGCCCCTCCGCCAGGACCATAACCACCATGACCGCTGCTCCTTCCACTGCCACCACCGCTCCCCCCCCCACCACCTCCCCCACCTCCCCCACCTCCTCCTCCTCCTCCTCCTCGCCCTTCTCCTCCTCCTCCTCCTCCTCCTCCTCCTCCTCCTCCTCCTCCTCCTCCTCCTCCTCCCACGGTTCTTGATCCAGGGCCACACCCCAGCTCCGCCTCCCGACTGTGGCTCGCCCTGCCGCCCTCCGCCCACACTCCGCTGCTGCCGCCGCTGCTGCTGCTGCTGCCGAACCTGTTCGCAAATGCGCCGCCCAACTCGCCCCGCTCCGCGCCTCCCCCACGCCTACTGCTGCCGCTGCTGCTGCTCCCGGCCTCCTCCCCCCCGCTCTCCCCCCCGCTGTTGTTCTCCCCGTGCCCGCCGCCGACCCTGCTGGCGCGTCCGCGCGCGGGGCTTCCCCCCGTGCTGCCCTGGCTGTAGCTCTGCGGGATCTTGTTCGGGTGCGCCGGCGCATGCATGTGCGCGTGGGCGTGCGCGTGCGCGGCCCTATTCGCCAAAACTTCCGGGAGGCACGGCCAAGTGGGGCCTATGTATGAAGCGCCGTCCCCGCCAACCACGTCCGCGCCCAGCCCCCCGCTGCCCGCGCCAGTCCCCTCACGCTCCCCCGTATGATCCATATCCCCTAGAGAGAGCGACACGCGGTGACCCCTTCCACTCGCCCCCGCTCCAGCAGCCGCAGCGGAAGCCGCGGCGGCGGCAGAAGATTGCGCGGAATACGAGAGGTCGCGGAAACCCTGTGGGGGACCGCTGGGACCATGCGCGGCCTCCGCATGGTGGCGGTATGGCGCGGGCCTGCGCGCGCTGGGCGGAAGAGAAGTGCCCACTGCGGGGTGGGGATGCCCTGACCTTTGCGCGCCTGCAACCCCCGCGCTGCCCCCCGCTCCCCCCCCGCCCCCGTCACTGCCTTCATCCTCTACCGCCGTCACCAGCGAATTCGACCGCAGGTGGCTGGCGGCGCCCGCCCTACCTCCACCCCCGCGCTCTCGGTCGCTCCCCAAGCCCCCTCCTCCGCCTCGGCCAAAATCGCTGCTGCACGCCCCTCCGGAGCCGGCTTCCATCCGCCTGCGCGCCCTTTCCGCGCGGTAAATTGCGCGGAGGCTCTCGCGCTCCATCATCCGCAGGCGCGCATCATGCAGCTCCCCCGTCGGCGCAGTGCTCGTGCGCTCAAACACCACTGTTTCGCCCCCCTCTCCCGCACTCTGTACCGCTCCGCCTTCCCACAGCCTCTGCTCCGCGTCATTCCCGCTGCCCCTGACTCCCCCCGCGGGCCTCCTTCCGCCCGGCCTCCTTGCGCCTCCTTCCCAGCCCGCGCCAGCGCGGCGCACCTCACCATCCGCTTCCCCGCCTGCGCCGCCGCCGTCCGCCTCCCCCTCATCGTCGCTCCCCGGCCCAGGATAGCCGCCGCCCCGCGCGGCTCCCCAATCCCCGGATCCCCCAACCGACCGCCTGACGGGGCACAGAGACTGCGAGCGCGGGAACGCCGCCATGGCGGACGCTCCGCCTCCGCCTGCGCCTCCTCCCCCGCCGGCTCCCCCCGCACCAGCCAGCGCCGCCATTTGCATGGGGTTGCGGATGGAAGACGCAACGACCGACGACACCGGGCGCACTTGCAGGCGCGGGGTGCGCCGACGCTCGACCATCGACCCCCCCGCCCCCACCCCGCGCAGGCTATACTGCCTCCCCCATTCCGCCGCGTCCTCCCCGGCCCCCCCGGCAAGGCCCCCCGCGGGCACCCTCCGCCCGGATTGACTCTGAACGAACCTACCCCGCATGTTGTGCTGCAGGCTGTGCTGCCGGCCCCAGCCGGCCGGGCCGGCCGCGCCGGCAGCGCCAGCCGGCTGCTCGTCGCCGTGATCTGCCAGCTCTTCCCCGCTGCTGTCCGCGCAGTCCCCCTCCTCTCCGCCGTCCTTCTCCGGACTGGAGCTGGAGCTCCGCTCCACGCGGGCGGGTGGAGCTCTACCGAGGCTGCTCTGCCGGACCCAGTTCGCCGCCGCGGCTGCTCCTTCGGCTCGGGCCGAACTTGCGCTCCCTGCCGCGGATCCGCGGAGGCTGTTCTGCCGCATCCAGCTCCATTCCTCCATCCCAGGAGCTCCGCCTCCGCCCGGCCCTTGCGCCCCCCGGCTGCTGCTGCCCCCCCCGGGTTCTCGCTCGCTGCCCCCCCGCCGGAGTAGCCTCGCTCCGCCGCTGCTCGCCGGCCTGAATCCACCCACGCCGCCGCCACCGCCGCCGCCGCCGCTGCTGCCCGCTCCCCCTCCAGCTCCCGGACGGCCGCCGTGCTTACCGAGCGCACCGGGGGCAGCGACGGAATGACTCCGGGGGAACGCGGAGAGCGCGGGGCGGCGGATGGGCGCGGGGTTGGGGTCGTCACCTGAATGGGCGCGCTCAAGCGTGCGGAACTCCGCGCCGGCGGAGGAAGTGGCGACTGTGGCGGCGAACCCGGAACCGGAGGCGGGAAAGACGCCCGCGACGTCGGATGAGGTCCGTGCGACCGCTGGGCGATTGCTGGAGTGCCGCGAACGTGCTCGCGAACGAGCCCAAACGTCGTCGTCGTCGTCGTCGTCGTCGCCGTCGTCGCCGTCGTCGTCGCTGGGCTCCAGATCCTCGTCGTCATCATCGTCCGCCGCCATTACAGGCCCGCATCCGACGCTGCTGCTCCGGCCGAGCATAGATCGGCCAGAAACGATAGCCGCAGACGGCACCACCGAGCCGCCGGCGACTGTAGCGCGCTGCGTCGACGCTTTAAGGGACCACGGGGCGAGCTTGTCGGCTTCTGCGGCCTCCCAGACATCGCGGGGAGAGGGGACGACCTCCGCTGGCGGCGGCGCGTTGGCGGGAGCGTCTGTCGCGGCTACGTTCACGCGCAGGCGACGGATGCGCCGTAGATTGATGTCTAGGCCCATAGCAACGGTGGGAGGGAGAGGGTGGCGGAACGCGCGTAGACGCTGGGGTGTAGGATACGGTGGCAGCGATGGTCGGTGTTGGTGGGTAGATTAAGTAATAATTAGCATCAGCCGGGATCAGGGAACGGCTGAGGAGGCTTGAATGTTGTTCGGTCCAGTGTCAGAAGCTCATTCCTTCGAGCCTTGAATACTAATCGCTGCAGGGCTGTAGAGGAAACTTAGCATGACGCTTCGGTCTCTCCATTCTAAAATTCCCTTTTATCGTCTCAAGGGTCAGGAAGATAGGGACAGGAAGTAAGCGGTAAGCACGAGGAGTTTCGATCTGTGGATCCGGGAGGGATAATGACCGCTGTATTAAGGACGGTGGCTGGGGTGCGACGCCGAAAGTAGTAAGGATGCTGGCGATGCTGGCGATGGTGGCTCATGGCTTGCATGGTGATGAGTAGGCAGTGTTTGAAACCTGCAAGGAAGCCTTGGGAAATGGTGTGCTTGGTCAGGATGAGCGATTGTTGGAAGGAATATATGGTGGTGTGGTTTGGGATATGGTTTGGCGTGGTTCTGCGCACACAGCAGATGTGTTGGGGAGAGGGAAATGGGCTGGGTATGGTACAGGTGACGAGAGACTCTTAACCGTACTGAAACTACTCTAAGACACTCTGTACCTTATCGAATAGTACTCAAATCTGCTGCAAGACCAATCTTGAGGGCAACGGAACCTGACCTCATTCTAGGCACCAAGGCGCGATTCCTCCAAGGAAATCCAACCAGCAGCAGCAGCAGCCGGAGGGGACGATATTCTATGTGGCTTGCGTTGAGTACTGTACAGTACTTCCACATATGTTTTTCCTTCCTGCCCGTCCAAGCCAAGCAAGGGGTGTTTGTCCAACCAGGGCTGCTGGTGATGGGGATAGGCGGCAGGTGGGTTGGTTGGGGAAACCAGCAGCTCCCCAACCCAAACCACCTCGTGGCTGGGTGGCAAAGAAAAGCACCCACCCATGCAGCCTGGCCAACAGGGAAATTTGGGCAGTGGCCATGTCATGTGGCTTTCAGGCGCGGATGAACAGAGTTCCGAGATTCGTCTGGAACCACACCACAGGTTGGAAGCTCGCCGGACCTGCCTACGTCAGGTCGCTCAACAGGCTCGGGGATATGGTTTGCTTGGTGGAACTGCCACTGAAGCCAGGGCACCTGACGCAGAACAGCAAACCAACAGCACCTTGGCTTCAAGGTATTCGTTTGTATTATAAGCTCCATCCATCAAATTCGCTTTACAGAATTCAAAGGGCGGAGTTGCAACTACTCGCGTGAGTGTCTAGTGATTGTTCGTGTGATTGAAAGTGGCATGACCCTTTGGACGACTATACGCGCGAACCTACTGCTCACGCGTTGACTCGCTACTTCCTTACAGGCCTCTCGCTAAGCCCCAGGGTGTTCCGGAAGGGGACGGAATCGCCTCATGATTACCCGTTAACAGACGGAATTCAAAAAAAAAAAAAAAAAAAAAAAAAAAAAACCGTTATCGAAAGTGTAATTATTTGACCGGTGTTGCAGGAGACTAAGCATAGAATCTGCAACCACGAGTACTTAACCAACGATCTTTACTGGAATGGTAGACTAGTAAGACTGCGGAAGTCTTATCAGAGTGAACCTGAGCACATGAACTTGTGGATAGTCGAAGGTTGAATAACTTGAGCACATAATTCTGTGGAAAGTCAAGGTTAATTATAGAAAGGCATTACAAGGATGTATACCTCTAGGAAAGTACCTGTTCGGCTAGTTGCGCGCTATGCGACCTATTTGTCATACTATAGGGTCACGACTGTTCGCGTGATTGAAGCGGCTCATTACACGTATTCGCGTAACTGAAGCGGTATGCTGACGTCATCCCCGAGACCCGCGATGCTTTGCTGACATCAGCACTCGGGCATGATTGCTTACTGAGAAACTCGATACTGCTAGCTACACCAAAAACGGAACTCGCAGGAATGCAAAACTTCATTTACCACAACACTCCCCTTCATTCTGGAAGTTCGTGTTAAAATTATATAAGTTATATATAATTGATAGGCTTTGTAGTTATTACCGAACCTTACTGTAGAGAGTACAATCCCCTCCTTGTACCCCTCTCTCTTCCTAATCGAGTACCCTTCTTTCTCGTCAATCTTCCCTAGCTAATCCTCGTCATTTCATGGCGGCCTTCTCCTATCTTGCTAGCTCAGTTCATAACAGTTCGATGTAGTCACGTCGTGGTTGGAGTGCGGCGAATGAAATCTGCAATTTGGAATCTTGTGACGTGTCACCTTCATGTGCTGTAAGTAGTCGGCGGTCATTCCATTGGTCAAATGGTAGACCTATCGCGTTCTTCCCTTCTTGATGACGAATTTTGGCTTTGACGAAGTGCGTGTAGATCCTCCTTCCCCCCCTCACTTCGGCAGAATAAAAATGAGTCGGGTTGATCGTGTCAAGGCCGAAGGGGATGAATGCAAGACCACGAGAGTGTTGCTCGTGGTGGAGAGGAGCCTCGACATCATTTGGAGGCTTGACAAAGAACCGTGAAGTGACGGGCAGATCTAATGGTGCAGTTTCGGGTAGAGAAATTTGTTGACTCAGCAGTGCATGCAGTTGCTCATGTAGCTTGTGTAGGATACTGTTCAATCGTTCTGCTTCGTTGCATTATTGAAAGCGATGACGATGGGTTTGTTAGCAGTTGATGCCCGTGCCTTGCTCGTAGTCGTTGGAGGTCGTAGTGTGATAATCGGCTTCTCTATAGTATAGGAACGTGGAACAGCATGTTGGCAGCGTGGAACTGAGTTGGCTTGCTGCTATGGCCAGCCAAGCAAGTAGTATGATTATGAAATATGAAGGGAGTAAAAACCTTTCTCCGGTAGAGTGGTAGTTGAAGAATTGTCAGAAGGTTTGTCGAGAGTAGTTGTAGCAGCGAAGAATAATTCAGGTGCGAGTTGAAGAATTTCCTCGTGTTCTTGACTAATATCTTGATATTAACGGCAGGTGTGTCGGCAAGAATGTCGGTGGTGCTGCTACTCGGATTTTCTTCTTCGATGCTGCTGAAGTCCATTGGTGGAGTGGTTACCAAAGCTATTGTTGCGATAGTGGATGGAGCTTGAAGAGGAGCGACATATTCAGAAGGTTTTGCTGCCTTGAAGCGTAAGACGAATACGCCATTTTTTGTTGCTGCTCTTCCGATGTACGTGTTGTCCACATCATGTATTAACTCTTGCTCTTGTGCAGTGCAGTTTCCGACCGTGCGGATGTTCATCTTCAAGAGTTGAAGAGTTGACACTAAATTGAAGCCGAGGTTGTCGACGAGTAAAATGTTGGTAAGGCGTAAAGAGTTTCTTGTGTCGATTGATGTCAAAAGTATACTGCCGATATTTTCTGCTGCAATTGTTTGACCGTTGGCGAGTGTGATTGGGCAGGGTTGAAGAAGTCGACGACGGTTGTAGATGAAAGGGTTTGTTGAAGAGACCATATGGTGGCCACAACAACTATCCAAGTACCAAGTATCGGTACCTGAACTGCAATTGACCGTGTGAGTGGATGACGTAGGTAAACGAAAATTCGAAGTTGCCGTATTAGTGGCAGAGTTTGAATTTGTGGCTGTCGGCTTTGATGAGTTGCTTGGAGGAACACAGCTGAGTGACGACGGTTTTGTGGTGCAGGTGTTGCTTTTGGAGGTGCAGGCTGCTGCAAAGACTGCTTCGAAGGCTGTTGTAATTGCTGTGATGATTGCGACCTATGCGATTCTTCATGAGGTACATACCTCTTGTTAAAGTAACATCGGTCAGTAGAATGTCCTTCCTTGTTGCAAAGCTGACAGAAGTATTGAGGACGTCGTGTTGGTGTTGAATAGAAACTGAGTTGTATATCTCCCTGTTTGTTGCGTTGTGACTGCAAGTCAAGATCTTGCTGTTCCGCTTGAAGATATGAAGAAATCTCAGCTTCGGAGAGGTTCGGGTTCATACGCAGGAAGGCGCGCGTCTGTCGCCATTCGGGTCAAAGGCCAGCAAGAAGGACCGTGAGATACATCTAACGAGGGAAGTATCCCCCACTCTTCTCCAGTTGATCTTGAAGTGTACGGACGCGGTTGACGTAGTCCATAACATTTTCGTTTGTCATCATCTGCACATTTGTTAACTGCGAAAGAATCTTACTCACCGTTATTTTATCTTTTGCCATGTCTACCCCCTTCAAGTGGTTCCATGCAGTTTCAGCTGGTGTGAAGCTTGAATGAAACGATCGGACGCCGAGCTGCTCCTTCGGCGACAGGTTCCGAACAAGAACTGTATACGCCGCGAGAGAGGCGTGCAAGAAACTCTGCTGCTCCAGTTGTGTTCCCACTACAGGATATGTAAACTCGCCAGTGAAGAACGGCCATAGCCCAGCGAACTGCGCCAGAAGCTCAAACTCAAAACTCCACGAGTAAAAATCTACTCCGTTAAAAGGTATGGTTGTCTTGATCTATGTACTGTTAAGCAAGTTTGGCGGTTGAAAAATAATACCCGGTTGTTGAGGCTGTTGTTCTTGCTGCTGTTGCTGTTGCTGAAATTGCTGTTGTTGTTGTTGCTGTTGCTGAGATTGATGTTGTGGTTATTGCTGTTGCTGAACAGGGGGACGCGCGAAGATATCAAAGGGATGCTGCTGCTGCTGTGACTGTGGCTGCTGCGCAAAGGGTGAGAAAGCAAACGAACCAGTACTTGGAGCTGAAGCTCCACTGAACGCCGACGATATAGACTGTATTGAAATCTGTGGTTGTGCTAATGCTTGTTGCTGTGCTGTTGTTTGTGTTTGTTGTTGTTGCGCAGCAGGTGTAGTCGATGAAATCCCTGGAGTGCTGACAAAAGGTGGATTCTATTACTGCTGCATACCGATGTTCGCATAAGCCGGTGGAAACGGTCCAGAGGCTGAAGAACCAGTGGCGGTCGTGGAGACAGGTACTCCAGTAGTTCAAGAACTTGATCCGGTAGATTGTGCTGGCGTTGATCCAGTCATTGTTGGCAGTAGTCTTAATTCCAAATAGCTCTCATACCATGTAATAATTTGACAGGTGTTGCAGGAGCCTAAGTATAGAATCTGCAACCACGAGTACTCAACCAAGGATCTTTATTGGAATGGTAGACTAGTAAGACAACGGAAATCTTATCAGAGTGAATTTGAGCACATAAACTTGTGGGTAGTCGAAGGTTGAATAACCTGAGCACATAATTCTGTGGAAAGTCAAGGTTAATAATAGAAATGCAGTAGAAGGATTTATACATCTAGGAAAGTACCTGTTCGGCTAGTTGCGCGCTATGCGACATATTCGACATACTATAGGGTCGCGACTATTCGCGTGATTGAAGCGGCTCGTTACACCTATTCGCATAACTGATTGCCCTACAGATTGCCCTGCTACAAATATAGCCCCTATGGATTCGAAAAAAGTTACTCGCTAGGCTAAGGAATCGCGCGAAATTGTTTAAGTTGGACGGATTCGGAAAAAAATCGCACTGTAAAAAAACGGAATCCCTTGAAAAGCTACTCTTAATTTCTCAACATTAAGGGTAATTACCATGTTAGCAAGAGGCCTGATGCCTTACGTCATCATGCACGTTCTTCCATATGAGGTATCGCGCAATTAATACAGTCGAAGCATTATCAGGAATGTTTAAATGCCAACTCTGTCGAATATAATTCAGAAGCATCACCTTCCATTTTTATTATTCCCAAATAGAATCTCGTATCACAAATATATTTACTATTTTTTCATACATTTAATATATTTCTTGTAAATACATAGTGCGTTTGAACCCATGTGCCCTTGAAATTAGGTGTAGATGTCCCGTTTCGCGCCAAGATTCAGCCGGAGGGAAGCGGCATGATCGTGATCCTGTCGATTCAAGAGCAAATGCCCTTAATTCCCTAAACATTCCGGATAAGCTGTCCGTCCAAGTCCGACTTTTTAGGGTTTTGTGCAGGACTATTCCGTCATGGTTAGGGTTTCATTCGTCCCTACTCCGGATTTGTCAGGGCTGAGCTGGGGCTTTTTCCTGATTTTCCGTAATGGGTTCTAGACATACCCTCACCTAAGCAGCCTCCTCCCCCACCCACACCACCCCACCTTTCCCTCGGCTAGGATAATTTGGCTAAGTTCTCCAAACCAGAGATTTCCCTCCCACATTCCACCCGAACTCGGAAATTCCTCAAAGTCATCCACACCCAGGGACATTCCTCCCACACTCATCACACCCCAAGAGAATCCCCTCAGCCAGATAATTCCTCTGATTCCTCCAAACTAGAGACATTCTTCCCACACCCTACTTAGCACCTTGCCAACCCTGATGTACGATGACGAAGTTTTTCTCTCAGGCAAAGTACAGTCTCCGGCGCAGTCCTGATTTTGAAGTATAGGTTTGGACCCCAGCCCGTACGCTTCAGGGCTCAGTTGGGTGGCTTTCCGGAAATATCAGGGCTGTTTTTGGGGGACCTCAGCCACCCAAGTATTGGCCCCAAACCAATCGACAGCCCTCCCGACCAACCTGTATCCTGTTCCAGCATCCTACTGTATACTCCATCATGCTTTAAAGCCCCCGTCTCATAATTACTAGAGTTTTACACTTGGTTGGAGCAGGCAAACTCTGATTGGTAGGCGAGGTAAAAAAAAAATGACGAAAACGAAACGCAAGTGGCGAGACAATTTTGTTCCGGTAAAACACCCGAACCAAAAACAGGTTTGGGGAAGGGTGGCTCGCGATAGGTTTTGCACATCAGTCTGGAGGTTCGTTTTACATCGGACGGTGCAGAAACCAATTTTCCTGCACAGCCAAATTCCACTTCGTTTACAGCGGTAGATTTAGTAATACACTCGCTGAACCGTCGGATCCGAACTTCTAGAAGATCGAACGGTCCAACGTCCCCATTCTTCCGTGAACTTGCTCATTCTCATATTTCACTGCTGGTTTTACAATTGGTCTCGCCCCCCAGCAAGAAACACACTGTCCGAGGCACTTCTTGCCTGTCTCTTCATATTCGCCAGCGTAACTGGGTACCAAGCATTTTACACTTGGTCGGATCCTAGAATTATGAGACGGGGGCTTTAAAAACGTTGTGGTTTTTTTCGCGTTGCGTTTCGCTCAGTGGTCGATTCATCACCTTACCAGATCCTCCACATCTGCCTCTCGAAGGAACACCGAAGTCGATACCAGCACCCAGCATCAACAATTCTCGAGCGTTAGCTGACCAGCCTCCACAATTCTCCCAAGCTCCGTCCTCTTCTTACGGTTCGTCGCCTGGTTAGCTGGCCTACCACCACCACTAACAACAGCAGAATCTGCAGCAGCAGCAGCAGCAGCTTCTTGCGCCAGTGGACAAGGAACGGCGACGGTTATCGAGTATCCATTACCATCCCCATTCCAGCGCCGTCCCCATTCACAACCACAGCCTCAGCCCGAACCCCAATCCGCCATGACTCATTCTCTCTCCGGTGGCGGCGGCGGCAGTAGGGCCCCGTCGTTCCTGCTGACATGGGCCGTCGTCTCAACCACTGCCTCCTTCACCCTCCTCCTCCTCATCGTCGTACACATGCTCTCGCCCGCCTCGCTGCCGAGCCTGAGCCAGACGCTCGGCGTGGGAGGCTCGGGCGATCCGAACCAGGTGCTCGCGGGGCAGGTTTCACGCGTGCAGATGGCGTGGGGAGATCGGCAGGGGCAGCAGGGGGAGGGGGAGGGGGAGGGGGAGGGGGAGAGAGCGTGCAAGAATTGGATCCACGTGGCGTTCAGGGAGCGCGGGATTCCCAACACGAGGAAATGGAGCCCGGTGTGTGAGGCCGTCACAGTCACAGTCACAGTCACAGTCAGTCACACTCACACTCACACTCCGTGCACCTACTAGTTACGGCTGTTTGTTGGCTCTTGAGTGGGCTCCGAATCATTCCCAACACGACACGAGGAATGATGGACCCCGGTGAGCGCATGCCTCTCCTATGCCGCATAGGCTGCTGCTCACCGGGCTCCATTTCTCCTCTGTGCTCACCGGTCCGGTGAGTGAGCTCTACGATTTGCTGCTGTTTCTTGCTTCCGCGCTATCCCTCTCTTTCTGCTACGCTGTCTCTCTCTCTCTCTCTCTCTCTCTCTCTCTCTCTCTCTCTCTCTCTCTCTCTCTCTCTCTCTCTCTCTCTATCTCTCTCTCGCTCTCTCTCTACCGCGCCTATGCTCTTCCCTCCCCCCTGCCCCCGCGCAGGGGCTGCCCATAGAGGCGATGGAGCCGGACCTGAATCGTGTCTTCCTCCTCCCTTGCTCTCCCCGTCTCACGCTCTCACTCCCCCCTCCCTTCCCTCCCTCCCTTCCCCCCCCTCCCTTCCCCCCCCACCAACCCCACGCAGTGGCTGCCGCCGCTCTCCCTCTGTCGCGTGCAGGGGCTGCCCATAGAGGCGGTGGAGCCGGATCTCAACCTCTCTCGCTTCCTCCCTTTGCCTCCCGTTCTCCTAACCCTTTCCCCCTCCCACCCCACCCCCGTCCTCCCCATTCCCCCCATGGCAGTGGCTGCCACCGCTCTCCCCCTGTCGCGTGCAGGGGCTGCCCATAGAGGCGGTGGAGCCGGACCTCAACTTCCGGCGCGGGTTCACGCTGGGCTACGTGGACTACGAGGAGGACAAGCTGCACGTGCTGCCGTACCTCAGAGCCGCGCTCGACCACCGCATGCACAGGAGGTCGGTGGGCGTGTTTGCTTCTGTGTGCGCATGTGGTTGTGTGAGTGTGGGTATGGGATGAGGCGGGAGAGCAGGGAAGACAAGGGAAGGGGGGGGGAGGGGGGGAACCGTCCGTGTGTTTGTGTGTGTGTGTGTGTGTGTGTGTGTTTGTGTGTGTGTATGAGTGTGTGTGTTTGTTTGTGTGTGTGTGTGTGTGTGTGTGTTTGTGTGTGTGTGTGTGTGTGTGTGTGTGGTTCGTCTCCCTACTTTCCTCTCTCCCCCTGTTCCGTCCCATATGTTTTCTTCTGCCTTCAACTCTGAAACCATTGATCGTTAGAACGGAATGTCAGTCATCCATCCCTCCCATGTTCTGGTTAACCGCTCTCACCGCACCTCACACACGTCCACCACACTCAACCCCACGTCACCCCATCCCACCCCACCCGACCCCACCTCCCCTCGCCTCACCCCACCCCACCTGACCCCACCGCACCCTATGCCTTCTGACCAGGGGGCGGCGTGTGTTCATAGACTTTGGCGCCAATGGTTTCCACACGAGCGTGACGTGGTTCCTCACCATGTACCCCTTGGAGTTCACCGAGGTGCACGCCTTTGAGATCGAGCCCCGCATGTTTGTCGTGCCCCAGCCACACGACGAGGTGCGTGGGTGGAGAGGAAGAGGGGGGGTGTGGGGGGGGAGGGAAAGGGGGAGGGAAAGGGGGAGGGAAAGGGGGAGGGAAAGGGGGAGGGAAAGGGGGAGGGGAGACATGTTTCCTCACCATGTACCCCTGGGAGTCCACCGAGGTGCACGCCTTTGAGATCCAGCCCGGCATGTTCGTCATGCCTGAGGCAAACGGCGAGGTGCATGGGTGGGGGTTGGGGGAGAAGGAATGAGGGTGGGAGGAGGGAGAGGAGTCGTGGTTCCTCACCATGTACCCCTTGGGTTTCACAGAGGTGCACGCGTTTGAGGTGCACTTGGGCGGCTGTGTGCAGTGTCCACATTGTCTGGTGGGCCTGTTTGAGTGCTTGTGCAAGTCTTGGTGCCTGAAATTGCTGCTCTCCATCCATGCCTCACCATGCCTCTCCGCCATGCTTCTTCACCATGCCTCTCCGCCATGCCTCTCCTCCCATTCCTCTCCGCCATGCCTCTCCGCCATGCCTCTCTGCCATGCCTCTTCACCATGCCTCTCCACCATGCCTCTCCTCCCATTCCTCTCCGCCATGCCTCACCATGCCTCTCCGCCATGCCTCTCCGCCATGCCTCTCCGCCATGCTTCTTCACCATGCCTCTCCGCCATGCCTCTCCTCCCATTCCTCTCCGCCATGCCTCTCCGCCATGCCTCTCCGCCATGCCTCTCCGCCATGCTTCTTCACCATGCCTCTCCACCATGCCTCTCCTCCCATTCCTCTCCGCCATGCCTCACCATGCCTCTCCGCCATGCCTCTCCACCATGCTTCTTCACCATGCCTCTCCGCCATGCCTCTCCTCCCATGCCTCTCCGCCATGCCTCTCCGCCACGCCTCTCCAATCGCCTGAATGTCTCCCCAGCTGGTTCTCCCCGAGTGCTGCTTGCTTATTCCGTCTCCTCTCTGCCCTTCCTCCGTCTCTCAGCCGCTCAACACCAGCGCTATGACCTCAGGCTCACACTTTAGACCTAGGCGGCAATTTCCGAGGCGCCTCAAAAATCGATTTTGGCAAGGGGGCAAGGGCCGGGCCGGAGCAAGTTGGTTTTTGAGAATTCTCACAGCAGTCTCTCCCGCTGGTTCTCTCTGTGTGATGTTTGGGTTTACCCCTCTCGTCGTCTTCTTCTCTCTGCCCTTTCTGCCTGACCTTAGCCACTCAACACCAGCAGCGCCATGACCTTTGGCTCGCGCCTCAGGGGCATAGGCTGGCTGGCGCCTTGGTGGCTGGCATTGCTGCTCGTTTCCACGCTGCGTCGGCTTCTTCTGCCTCGTATCCGCGCCTTACTCCGTCTCCTCTCTGCCCTTCCTCCGTCTCTCAGCTGCTCAACACCAGCGCTATGACCTCAGGCTCACGGCTTAGGCCCAGGGGGCGTGGGCCGGCGCCTATCCCTGGGTGGATGCTGGAGCGCATTCGGCCCTACAACACCATGGTTGGGCTTGAGGACAACCCGGAGAAGGTACGGTGGTGCTGACTGTGTTGGTGGGAATGGTGGTGCTGGTGGGAATGGTGGTGCTGGCGGGAATGGTACGCATGGTCGTGATAGTACGCGGGGTTGTGATCGTGCTGCCGCTGCAGCTGCATATGCCTTTGACATCCGAGCATGGTTCACACACACTCTCATGCACCCATGCGCATGTTTCTCGTTCTCTAAGTGTGTGTTGTTCAAGTGAATCATTCTTGGCGTTCCCAGCCTCCCTTCTTGTTCATTCCAGCCTCTTTGCCATTCCATCCTAACCCCCCTTACCCACCCCCTCAAAACACCGTCAACGCCACGCCAGAGGGCACGGTCGAGTTTTTCGCCCACTGAAAACCACGCACTCTCTTTCTCTCTCCTTCTCCACCTGCCTCCTCCGCCCCCCTTGCCCCCCCCCGTGCAATCAGAATGCCATCAACGCCACGCGGTGGATGCTGGAGGACCAGAGGACATGGTCGACTTTCCAGTCGGTTCAAAAGTCATGCATGCTCTCTCGCTCTCTCTCTCTCTCTCTCTTTCCCCACCTGCCTCCTGCATTCCCCTTGGCCCCCCCCCCCCGTGCAATCAGAATTCCATCAACGCCACTCGGTGGCTGCTGGAGGAACTGCGGGTCACGCCAGAGGACACCGTTGTGGTCAAGATGGATATCGAAGGGGCCGAATGGACCCTGCTTGATGGTAAGTGGGTGCTTTAGAGTCGGCTCAAAAGCCACTGCGGTGGCTGCTGGAGGAGCTTTTGCACGCCATGCTAGAAGACACCCTCGTGGTCAAGATGGTCATAGGAAAGGGCTGAATGGACCTTGCTAGATGGTAGGTGGGCATTGTTGATTGTTACGGTCGTGTTGGATGGTGAGCTTGTCTTGGTATCCTGGGACCTTATCATTTTTGTTGAATGTTTTCTAGCTTGTCCTAGCCTTCTCTCACCGTTATGTGTCCCGCCTCATTCATCCTTTTGTACTGTTCGTTTTTTGTTTGTGCAGCTTGGTTGGGCGTGCCTGGCTTGGAGCAGATTATAGACGAGTTATTTGTGGAGGTACACTATCACCACGAAACCATGCTCGACTTCCATTGGTACACCACTCGCTTCAACGCAACGCGAGAGGAGGCAGCGCAATTGTTCAACCGGCTGCGGGCCAAAGGATTTTATGCACACGCATGGCCTTAGTGGAAAAAACTTATTTCTCCTACTCCCTTATATTCACTCCATAGTATCATCCGTTTCTTGTAACATATTTTGGTTACTAAGCATATTCACTCACCTATGTTATGAAATATAACTCAGAGTATAGTGCAGAATACTGTAGGGGAGCGTGACTCCAGAATGTCTCTAACAATGAAAGGCCTAGGGCTTATTTAGTGCAAGTTGACCAGGTTGAACCTCAAGAGTTGGACCAGTCAAGGGATCGGTAGTCCCGAGGGTGACGGGGTCATATTGGGTTCGAGGCGCCTCGGTAACACGTACAGGGCCGAATAGGTCGGCGGGGGTGGTTTGACGCGAGGTTTGAGGGCCGAGGCTGCGGACGCGCACTGTTCGCGGTACTCGCTGTGGCGAAACCCGGTAAGGTTTCGTGAAATCCTTACAGCCTACATTCCCGTTCACCACTTTCGCAGTCACAGCATCCACACCTCGCAACCCAACCCTGAACCACAATGGTTCACGTTACGGGAATCCCGGAGAGGCAAAATCCAGTCTTCCTTCTATTTTAGTATCCACTGCACTTGGACTCCAAACCCGAGTCCGTACTTTAGGCGTGCTTAGCCAGTACCTTACCCTAATTGGTAACCCAGTTAGCGAACTGTAACCAGAGGGATGAGCCTTAGCAGGCGAAGTCAGGACCGATGCGCGGGAATCTGACTTGCAAATCTAGCGCGGTTCCTGGTCGCTTCGTCGGTTCATTCTCCCATTTAGTTGTCCTGTCCACGTCCACGTCAGCTTCAAGCACATCCACGTCGGCGATCGGATCGCGCGCGAGTCGCGATGTCGGATAATCCAGCGAAGCAGCTGCGCGTGCTGCTACCGCAGGCACTCTGGGCCGACGCGCCGCCGGAGCACGACATCACGTGCGTCGCGTCGCTCGGCGCGGCGCGCAGCGGCGGCGGCGCCTCCAGCGGGGATGGCGCCGCGATCGTCGCCGCGAATGGCGGCGGCGGCGCGAGTGCTGCCAGCGCGTCCGTGTGGACCGGCGCGAAGGACGGCGCGATTGTGCGGTGGCGCGTGTGCCCCGAGTCGCTGGTCCTCGCGGAGAGGCAACGGTCGGGAAGCTTCTCCGAGAGCCGGCACGAATGGGTGGGTGATTTTTGCAAAGGCGTTTTTTTAATGCTATAGCATAGCCCTCGTGTCTCTTATTGTTTTCGCATCGCTAACCCTAGTCTACTTCAACCACCTCTTCCCCCCTTCCCCGCACCCTTCAGCCAACTCTCCCCCCCTCCCCCCCCCCCCCCCCCCCCCCCCCCCTCCAATCCCGTCGTCCTTCCGCCCTCCTCCGCCGCGTTTCTGCCCCCGCCAGCCCCCCAACCGCTCCCCTATGCGCCCCGCGCAGTTTCTGTGCGGCCACAGCGCGCCGATAGTCGCGCTGCTCCCCTGCTCCGCCTTCGCCTCCGCGCCCTCCGCCCCCCGCGCCTGCGCCCTCCCGCCCTCCGCCACCGTCCCTTCCGCCGTGGCCGCGGCCAGGCGCGAAATGATGCGCGCAGGGGGAGGAGGGGGAGAGGATGTGGAGAGCAAAGGAGCGGGGGTTAGAGGTCAGAGGTCTGAGAGGAAGCATGCTAGTAGAGGGAGTTTGGCGAGTGTTGGCGAAGGGAGCGAAGAGGAGGAGGACGATGAGGAAGAGGAAGATGAAGGGGAGGAAGAAGAGAATTTAGAATGTGAGGAGAGAGGGGAGGGTGGGGATGGGTTTACAGGGAAGGGTGCTTGCAATGGCGGTTTCGCTGAGAGCAGCCGCAGCAGCAGCAGCACCACCACCAGCAGCAGCAGCAGCAGCAGCAGCAGCAGCAGCAGCAGTAGCACTACCAACCTGAGTCCCCTATCAACCGGCATGACAGGGGCAGAGGACGAGCTATGGCCGTTGGACGCGCTCGTGTCTCTCTGCTCCGCCTCCACCCTCTGCCTCTGGGACGCCTCCTCTGCCCGCTGCTGCCGCCGCCGCCGCCTGCCCCCCTGGGTGGGCACGCCTGCTGCTGCCTGCCTCGTCCCTGGCTCCTCCAACGCCCTGATCTGCATCGCTGCCAACGACGCTTCTACCACCGCTGCTGCTGCTACTGCTCCCGCTCCCACTGCTGCTGCTGCTGGAGTGGCAGGGGTGGGGGGTAAGGGGGGAGGCGGGAAGAGGAGGGAGGGCGGAGGAGGAGGAGGAGGAGGGGCGGGGGATGTGTCAGGGGTGCGGGGGTCCGTGGTTATTGTGTCCGCCATGACTCTATCTGTGCTGCAGACGGTGGTGCACGGGAGCTTGCCTCTCCGTAGCCCCATCGCCACTGTCGCTGTTTCCCTCGCCACCCCTCCCCCCCGGTTCCTGACCAGCAGTGGGAGTGGCAGAGGGGGGGGAAGGGGGGGAAGCGGAATGGGCATGGGAGGTGTGGGGGGTGTGGGAGGTGTGACTGTTGTGGCGGGTGCATCAGGGGGTGAGTGGATTCGAGTGGTGGTGTGGGTGACTGACTCGGTTGGCACCTGTCGGTGCTGGCCCACTTCCGTCCCAGCCCTGCCTCGCCTTCTGGCTGCTATGGCCGCTGCTGCCTCTGCCTCTGCGTCTCTCCTTGCCTCACTGCCCTCTCCTGCAGCAGCAGCAGCAGCAGCTGGAGGGGCAACAGCCATCGAAACCGCCGCAACCAGCAGCAGCAGCAGCAGCAGCAGCAGCAGCAGCAGCAGCAGCAGTACCGCTGCCGGTCCTCCTCCCCCTCCTGCTGCTGCTGCTGCTGCAGCAGGCAGTGGCAGTGGCAGTGGCAGTAATATCACAGGCAGGGTCCCCCCTCGCAACAGCCTAGCTGCTGCGTTTGCAGCTGCACCGACTGCGGGCGCCGCTCTCCCCCCTCACGTGCTGTCCTGGCCAGGGGACGTCCCTGCTGGTGCGCCCACTGCTTCCTCCCGCTCCCGTGCCTCCTCTGGCCCCACCCCCAATGCCCCACGTGCTGCCCCAGGCGCTGGGGCAGCAGCAGGGGGAGCAGGGGGGACAGGCGCAGGGGAAGGGGGAACAGGAGCAGGCGGCATAGGAACAGTGGGAAGGACGGGGGTAGGAGGGGTTGGCAGGCCGCCATCTACATCTCTATCCTCCCTTCCTTCTCACTCCTCCCTCTCCTCCTCCTTCTCCTCCTCCTCCTCTTCCGCGTCATCTGGATCAACATCACAGCACCCCTCATCCGCCTCCTCTCTCGCCACCTCCCCCACCTCGCACCCTCTCCTCACGCCTGTACCGGCCACGTCTGCCCTTGTACTGGCTGCTGCCGCGCTCATATCCACCTCTTCAGCAGCAGCAGCAGCAGCAGCAGCAGGAGGGTTGTCAGGTCACGCACCTTGGGAATTGGGGGTCTCCACCACTCTAGGCCCTGGTACCTTTGCCTTTAGCTCACTCTCTCCCACCAGTGCTCCCCTGCTCACTGCCCCTACCACTGGCTCCAGCCCTTTCTCCCCTGTGATTCCGTCTACCGGCAGCCCCTTTACTTGCAGCCCCTTTACAAGTCATCCCCATACAAGCCGCCCTTTGACTGGCAATCAGCAGGCCATCGGGTCTGTTTCTGGGTGGGATCGTGGCATTGGCCGTGGCAGTGGCGGTGGTGGGTCTACGCTATGCTCGATCGAGCTATCCCCATGTGCTTGCATGCTAGTGCTAGCCACTCCTGCTGCTCTTCTCCTCTGCTCCACAACTCTTTACACTCCCGAAAGCTGCCCCACACACTCCCATACACACTCTCACGCCCACTCCCATGCACACCAACACTCTTCCGTGTCCGCCCACTCCCACACCAACACACCTACCCCAACCACACCTACCCCCACCACACCTACCCCCACCACACCTACGCCCACCACTGCCTGTGCCCTCGCGCTAGCCATAGCTGCCCACGTGGAGGCTCCCCATTGGCTGCACAATCTCTCTCACACAGGCGTACTAGTCCCTGGAGCAGCGTCTGTGAGTCTACCCTCGGCCTTCGGGCGCATTGCAGGGGCGAGATTCGTGGCCCCCTGCGGCCACGCGCGCTGCTGGGGGGGAGGGAGCACTGGGGGCGGTGGGAGCGGTGCAGAGGTTGTCATTTGGGATGAGAACGGGGGGGCTGTGCTGTACTGCTTGAGGGAGTTAGCAGGGGATGGGGGAAGCGTAGGAGGCGGAGGAGGCGGAGGAGGCGGAGCAGGAGCAGGGGAGGTGGGAGGGGGAGCAAGTGCAGCCCATCCTGTTGCCTGGTCCTTAGACCTACTAGCCTGGCTGCCCCCTGCCATCAACTTTGGGGTGATCGGCCGGCGCTTTGGCTTCTGCCGATTCTCCCAGTCCTTGCTGGTTCGGGCAGAGAGCGGCCCGCCGGTCCTGGAGGAGAGACTCGGGATGGACCCCATGGTTCTGCTATGGAAGCTGCGGCGGGGGGGCACAGCCACAGCATGGGGATGGGGATGGGGATGGGGATGGGGATGGGGATGGGGATGGGGATGGGGATGGGCATTGGCAAGCATGGGTTTGGCCTTGGAAAAAATCATGGGCATGGGGACGGTTTCAGTCTGCAGGCAGAGGCATCAAGCCTAGCGGCTAGCATGGTCGCTTGGTCGTCGTTGAGGCAAGGGTGGGATGCGGTGGAGCGCGGTGTGAGGAGGGGTGTAAGAAGCATTGGTGGTAGCAGCAGCAGTGGCGGTGCCAGCAGCAGCAGCAGCAGCAGCAGCAGCAGCAGCAGCAGCAGCAGCAGCAGCAGCAGCAGCAGCAGCAGCAGCAGCAGCAGCAGCAGCAGCAGCAGCAGCACGCCTTACCTCTCAGCGCCAGCACCAGCAGCAGCAACAGCAACAGTAGAAGTCACTGCTGCAGGATCAGCAGCAGCAGCAGCTGGAGGAGGTGGAGGAGGAGTGGGGGGTGAGGAGATTTTCAAGAGGCTGTGTGAGGAGAGGGCAGACGGAGCAGTGACGACAGCAATGCTGGTGGGAGGGGGTCGGTTCGGCCCCTCTTTGGTTCTCCGAGGCTTCGCCAGCGGGAGAATCCAGGCAGTCCCCCTCTTCCGCCTGGGCTGCGGCCCGGATAATGCCGTGGGGGATCAGCCGACCCCGCCACTTGATCCGGTGTTGGCATCTGGCTTGGCAACTGGAGGGGGGAGTGGAGCTGGTGGGTGGGAGCGGGAGTGGTGGTTGGAGGGGCACGAGGGACCTGTGCTGTGCATGTTAGAGCATGCCGCCCCATTGGAGTGGATACTGAGGGATGAATGGTGGGGTGAGCAAGGGGAGGAGGGTGGGGGTGAAAGGACCATGCACGACGGCAGCAACTGGAGTCAGCAGCAGCAGCAGCAGCAGCATGCACAGGCACATGGGAAAGACCAGAACTGGCAGCAGCAGCACCAGCCGTACCAGCAGCAGCAGTCGGGTGTGCTGCGGCGTGTGCTGGTGAGTGGGGGCATGGACAGCACCATTAGAGTGTGGGACCTAGGCGCCCTGCAGCACTGCCTGCTCCGCAATAAAACACGTGCGGCACCCACAGCAGAAACAGCAGCAGCAACAACAACACCCGCAGCAGCAACACCCGCAGCAGCAGCAGTGGTGAGGATCCGTCCCTTGGCCACTCTCCGGCAGCACGTGGGGCCCATAAGGAGGCTCCTCCACCCCCCTCCCGGCACGCTCCCACCCTGGCGCTACTGCTTCGCCTCTCTGTCTGACGACGGCGCCGTGGGGATCAACTCGCTGGAAACGCTCCGCTGCGAAAGACTGCTGCCCGGCCACCGCCTGCCCGTGGATAATATTTTGTGGGACGGGCAGCGCGGGTACCTGGTATGCCTGAGTAAGGGGAAGAGCGGGGGGCAGAGAGGAGGAGGAGGAGGAGGGGCAGCAGTTGGGGGAAGTGGAGGAGGAGGAGAAGGAGGAGCACGTTTGGGTGGTGGTGGTGGCGGTGGTGATTCGGGGCAGTCGGGCTTCATTGTGTCGAAAGGGAGGAAGAAAGGGCGGGCTTTGGGGCCCAACACGTCGGTTCTGGCTGATCTTGGGGCGGCTTTAGGTGCTGCCCAGCAGCAGCAGCAGCAGCAGGTGCAGGGGGTGGCTTCAGGGCGGAGGCCGGTGTTTGAGATTGGTGGGGGACCCAGTACCGATACTCTGGATGCTTTTGACTCTGGGGCTGCTTCAAGAAGAGGCAGTCAGACCGTTGTTGACGATGGTGGTGCTGCTGGCGGCAGTGCTGTGGTTGCTACCACTACTTCTCACCTCACAGGGACCGCAGGGGCTGCTGCCGCAATCGCAGCAGCACCAGCGGTGCCGGCTGCACCGGCTGCCGTACCACAGGTGGTGCCAGGCTCGCCAGCAACAGCAAGAGCAGGAGCAGCAGGGGTGGGAGCAGCAGGAACAGCAGCAGCAGCAGCAGCAGCAGCAGCAGGCGCACCAGGGGCAGTAGGAGGAGCAGGCGCAGCAACAAAAGACATGCTATTCGTGTGGGACCTGCACTCAGGCGCGCGGGAGCGAATCCTCCGGGGCAACCCGGCCAACTCCCTCTTCTCGTTTTTCGCTGCCAAGATCAAAGCGTCCGCGCATTCCTCCGCTGCCGCTGCTGCTGAGGCGGCTGCCCCGCCTGTGGAGAACCTGCTTCTGGAGTTTGATGAGACGGGTAGGGGTGATGAGGGAAGGAGGGGAGAAGGGGAGGGAGGTAGAGGTGAGGACGGGCTTGGCAGTGGACAGGGAGAGAGAGCTGGGTGGGGAAGAGGTGGGGAGTTGGGGGTAAATATGCACCGGCCAGGGCACCATCCTACTCCCCATCATCCACACCCACCTCCGCACCCACATCACCATCCCTCTCCTCCTCCTCCTCATCCTCCTCCCCCTCACCCTCACCAGCATCACCACCCCGGTGTGTCCCCTGTGTTGCGCTCCCCCGCGTTCAAGGGTTTCCTGACCCCGTCCCACGTGGCTATTCTACTCATAGACCTCCCGTATCTGCTCTCCCCGGACCTCAGCCTCGCTCTCTCCGCCCTGCCTCTGCCGCCGCCGCCTCCCATGCCCCCCTGCCTTGAGCTTGGCAGCAGTAAGGGCGGCGGCGACGGCGGCGGCGGCAGCGGCAGCGGTGTTGGTGTCAGCACCGCAGACGGTGTTTTGGCAGAGCAGCAGCAGCAGCAGCAGCAGGGGGAGGTTGAAGGGAGAACAGAAAGCACCTCCCTTCCAATCTCCACCCCTCAACACCACTCTACCCATCCTCACCCCTCCGCACCCTGGGACCCACCCGTCTGGCAGCGGGTGTGGACGGCCGAGGCCATGGTGCTGCGCAGTGCCATCCGGTACCTCCACGTGTGGGGCTGTGACCCGCAGCTAGATGCTGCCCTCTCCGCCTCTCTGCTCGTGTCGGAGCCCAGGCAGCTGTGCGTGGGGGCGGGGCTCGCAGGGGACAACGGCGCTCTTACACTCTCGTTTCCAGGGCAACAAGGGAGAGCAGAGGTGAGTTGGGATCAAGGCTCAGGCAACGGGGCCGGGGGCTGGAGTGGACTTGAAGTTTCCTGAGATTTCTCATCCAAGGGCCAGGGGCCAGGGGCCAGGGGCCAGGGGCCAGGGGCCAGGGGCCAGGGGCCAGGGGCCAGGGGCCAGTGGCCAGGGGCCAGGGGCCAGGGGCCAGGGGCCAGGGGCCAGGGGCCAGGGGCCAGGGGCCAGGGGCCAGGGGCCAGGGGCCAGGGGCCAGGGGCCAGGGGCCAGGGGCCAGGGGCCAGGGGCCAGGGGCCAGGGTACTACTGGCGTGTCTGGCTGTCCCCCATCTGTGACCTGGCTGTGACCCGGCTGTGACCCTCCTGTGACCCGCCCACCTTGGAATCCCATTCCCAATCCTGCAGCCTTCCCTCCTCTCTTCCTCCCTTACCCTGCTTTAACCCCCCCTGCCCCTCCTGTTACTCACTCTCCCCTTCCCTCCCCCTGGGCAGCTCTTCTGCGCCAAACCCACACTTCGCCTGTTTCTCCCTCTTCTGTCCCTCCCTCCCCGTCCCCCCCCCCCCCCCAGCTGTTCCGCAGCAGCCCGCACTTCTCTGTGCTGTGCTCGCTTGCCCTCGTGACCATCGCGCACCTGCTGCCGCCGCACCTGTTTTGATACAAGCTGCTTCAAAACCCGTCCCTTCTTTCTTGCCCCTCTTACTCCCTCTTCCTCTGCCCTCCTCCCCTGTCCCTCCCTCCTCCCTCGGTTGTCCTTTCCCCGTTCTCCCCTGTTTCTCCCTCGTTCTCCCTTCTCCCCCTCCCCTCCCCTCCCCTCCCCCCCCTCAGCTGTTCCGCACTAGTCCGCACTTCTCGGCCCTCCGCTCGCTCGCCCTCGTGGCCATCGCGCAGCGGGTCATGCACCTGCTGCCGCCACACCCGCCCTCGCCGTCCCGCCGCGTCTGCTCGCTCCTCGCCGCCTTCTACTCCAGGGAACTCGCTGAAAAGCTCCCTGGCTCTGTGGCTCCTGCCCTAGAGGTGACTGTTCTGCCTGTCCGCATCCTCCTATCCCCTTTCATGCTGCCTGTGTGTTCTATCCTGCTCGCTCCTCGCCGCCTTCTGCTCCAGAGAACTCGTGGAAAAGCTCCCCGGCTCTGTGGCTCCTGCCCTAGAGGTGCGTGCATTGCTCTTCTCTCGAGGAGAGTAAGCATGGTTCTTACCTCCCGTCCTGATCCCTCCTTGCCGCTGCCTTTTACGCAAGACGAATTAGCTGAGAAACTCCCCCGGGTTCTGTTGCTCCTGCCCTAGAGGTGCGTGCATTAGGTGATTCTTTTTTATTTCCCAAAAATCGCATGCATGTGTACGGTACCCCCCTTCCTTGCCCGTTACACTCCCCTGCATGTACCTTTGTTTCTCGTCTCGTTTCGTACCTTGCCCGTTTCCCCTAACGTGTTGCTTCCTCCTCCCCCTCCTCTGCACCGTTTCCTTGCTCTCCTGAACCGTATATATTTCTCTCTCATAGGCTTCAGGCTATAATCTTGTCACGAATCTGCTCCCCAGTACCCCCTCGCCCCCTCCCTCTCCGCTTCTCCCTCTCCCTCTCCCCTCCACCCACCCCCTTCCTCCTCTAAAAAATATCTCTCCCCCCTCCCCCCAGCTCTACACTTGTTTCTGGCACGACGCATCCGACCACATCTGCAGTTGAGGTGTCTCAATACCTATCCCCTCCTTCCCTCTTCTCCTTCCCCGTCACGTTCTCCTCTTTCCCCCAACCTCTCCCCCCTCCCCCCAGCTCTACGCCTGCTTCTGGCACGACGCAGCCGACCACATCCGAATCTGAGGTGCCTCAATCCCTATCCCCTCCTTCTCTCCTCTCCCTTTCCCTTTTCTCCCCTCCCCGTCTCTCCCTCCCCCCTCCCCCAGCTCTACGCCTGCTTCTGGCACGACGCATCCGACCACATCCGCATGGCAGCGCGCTCGCTCTTCCACTGCGCTGCCCTCCGCGCATTCCCGCCTCTCCTGCGCTCGCCGATCTTCCCGTCGCCCCGCCCCTCCATCTCCTCCTCCTCCCTCGACGAACCCACTTCCACCCCACTGCCACTAGTGCCATCTGCAGCAGGGGCAGGAGCAGGAGGAGGAGGAGGAAGAAGGGGGCAAGGAAGCAAGGGCGGCCTGTTAGTCCAGTCCGATTGGATCGGCTGGGAGCCGTCGGATGTGCTCCAGTGGATTGAGTCAACCGACGGCTCAGATGTCGTTTCGGTCGTGGGAGGCTCCCCTGCGGACGCCAAAGCAGCCCGCACCAACGTGGCAGCTGCTCTAGCAGTCTGGTACCTCCCTTTAGGCCGGTCCGACCTAGCTTCTGCCGTCGCGCCGTCGCTTCTCCGGCTCGTGCGATCGGCCAATAGCCGCCATGCTGCCACGGCTGCTGAGATACTTGCTGAGGGGATGGCGGACACGTGGCAGGCCCTGATTGGGCCGCAGATCCACCGGCTGATTGCTGACGTGTTTGTCCTGTGTGAGGATCTAAGAGGGGCGTGGGCGGCAGGGGGGCAAGGAATGATTGGCGGTGGAGGGGGAGGAGGAGGAGAAGGAGGAGGAGGAGGAGGAGAAGGGCGAGGGTACAGGGTTCCGTCGCTCTCTCACCCCAACCTGGTGTCACTTGGTTCAGCACAACCAGGTACCACCTCTTCTGCTTCTTCTTCTGCTGCTGCTGCTTCTGCTCGAAACAGCTACGGCTCTGCCACCGGCCCCACTGGCGCCAGCAACGGGCCCATGGGTATGGGTGCTGCAGGGGGGTCGATGAGCTTCACAGCAGCAGGGATCGTCACTCCGCCAACCTCCGCTGCCCCCTCGCCCTCTATGGCCGGCCCGCCCTCCCCCTCGCCGCAGAGCGCTGTGCGACGGCTAGACCTGGGACCCGCCTCGGTTGGCAGCCCAGGGGGTGGGGGAGGAGGGTTGGGAGCAGGAGGAGGAGCAGCGGGGGCAGGAGGAGGGGGCGGCAGGATGGGTGGGTTTTCGTCAGGAGCAGGAGGAGGGGGGCTGGGTCGTGGAGTGAGCGGGAGCATGAATGACATTCTGACCCCCACTTCGCTGGCATCGCCAGCAGTCACGCCGTCAGGCCTCCGCAGCAGCACGGGCGACATGCATGCTGACATGCATGGGGGCATGCACCATGACATGCATGCCGACGTGCATCGTCATCATGGCATTCACTCCGTTCCCGCCTCAGCAGCCATGCTCTCAGACGCCCATTCTCTCGATGCAGGCACCATTCTCACCCCTGGAGCCAGCCCTGCTACCGCCGCCGCCGCCGCCGCTGGTTCTAGCAGAGGCAGCCACAGGAACAGCAGCGGGAGCAACATGGCACGGCAGCATTCCTCCCCCCGCTCCTCCTCCATGACTAATCTCCCAGACGCCTCCCAAACATCCCTAGGGGTGGGACGAGGCCCATCAGCAGCAGCAGCAGCATCACCAGCAGCAGGAGGAGCAGGAGGAACAGGAGGGGCAACAGCAGCAGCAGCTGCAGCAGCAGGAGCGCCGGGGCAGCCATCAGCAGCGGTGGCGATAGTGGTGCGGGAAGCCTTGGCGACATCTCTGCTCCCAGCGCTGGCCATGGCAGACCCGGCAGCGTTCCTCACGGTGGTGAACGGGCAGATAGCCGGGGGCGCTCCCCCGGACTCGTCCGTGCACGTGACGGCGCTCATGGCGATTATCCGCGCCGTGCGGTCGTATCCCCGCTCGCTGCTTTGCCACATCACCCAGGTGAGGCTGGGAGGCTTGGAGGCTGGAAGGCTGGAAGCGACTGGGAGGCTGGGAGGCCGGGACGCTGTGTATGGTGTACGGAAGCGGTTAATAATTGCTCTTTAGCAATGCTGCCAAACCTTTGTGCGTGCTTCCTCCCCAAACTTTAAATGCACCATCAGAAGTGCACATCCAGTCAATGCGTCCCCCAACCAACTCCCCCTTCCCCGCCTTGCCTCTCTCTTCCGCCCTGAATCGCGACAGATCGTGGAGCTCAAGTGCATGGACCAGTCCAACGGCTCATGAGACCTCCCTCTTTATGCTGCTCTTCCCACGCGGCATGCGCCCCCGCTGGGTCCCCTCTCCCCCCCCTTCCCCCCCCCCCCCATCAGATCGTGGAGTGTGCGCTCAAGTGCATGGACCAGTCCAACTCGTCTCTCCGCAAGAACTGCCTGCACACGGCCATGGCGCTGCTTATGGAGCTTCCGCGCAACTTCCCCATGGCTGCTGTCTTCCAGAGCCCTCCTGCGTCCCCCAACTCGTACCTGCGCCTGGCTGTTGGGGACGCCGTGGGGGACGTGGGGCGCATCGCCATCCATGTCTACGACCTGCGCTCGTGAGATACCCCCCCCCCTCCCTGCTCCCTGCTCTCCCTTCTCTCCCTTCTCCCTGCTCCCTGCTCCCTGCTCCCTGCTCCCTGCTCCCTGCTCCCTGCTCCCTTCTCCCTGCTCCCTGCTCTCCCAGCTTCCTGCTTCCTGCTCCCTGTTCCCTGCTCTCCCTGCTCCCTACTCCTGGCTTCCTGCTCCCTCCCCTCTCTGCTCTTCTTTCCTTCCCCCTACTCCCTATCCCCTCTTCCCATCTCATCTTCCCGCCGTGGGGGGCGTTAGGCGCATCGCCATCCACGTCTATGACCTGCGCTTGTGAGATACTGCTGCCCCCTCTCCCTCCTTCCTGCTCCCTCCTCTCTCAGCTCCTGCTCCTGTGCTCACTGCATGCGCTCCCCACACCACTCCCCACACAGTTCCCTTCCCTCTGTGTGTTCTCTTCCTTACATCATTCTCCAACGCCCCTTTTCCATCGCAATTCCACTGTCCATTCCGCCGCTGCCTGCCACTGTCTGCCACTGCCTGCCACTCGCACTTCCTCCCACTGCCTCCGGAAGCCAGCCACGGCATGCCAATGCATGCCAATGCTTCCGCTCCAGCCAACGCCCTCCCTTTCCTCCCTCTACCCCATCACTCCTCCCTTGCATCCAGGGGCACCAAGTTCCGTACGCTAGATGCCAGCAGCGCTCTTGGCCCCCTACCTACCTCCAATCCCTTTCCCGCTGCCCCTCTCACCAGCATTCAATCTTCTGTCTCTCTATCTCTCCGCTGTTTCTCTCTTTCCTGCCGCTTCCCCTCCCTTGCACCAGGGGCACCAAGTTCCGGACTCTAGACGCCAGCAGTGCTCCCGGCCACCCGACCTACCTCCGCTCCCTCTCCCGCCGCTCCTCCTCATCTGCCGCCGCCGCTGCCGTTGCCGCTGCTGATGCTGCTCTCACATCACCAACCTCCCTGCTTTCCCCCTCATCCTCTTCCCAATCCTCCCTCCCAGCCATTTCCCCCTCCTCTTCCTCCTCCTCCTTCTCCTCCTCCTCCACCTCCGCCTCCTCCCTCCCCCAGCAACCCCCCACCCCGCCCCACCCCCTCGCGCACATCGGGAGCATCTCAGCCGTCGCTTTCGCGCCAGATGGCGAGGCTGTAGTGGCTTTCTCCCAGATCGGGCTCGTGCTCAGGTGGTGGTCGATAGGCATGGCGTGGTGGGAGAAACTGACACGAGCGCCCACTGCTCCCGTGCACTGTAGCAAGCTGGTGATGGTGCCGCATATGCCAGAGCTTCCCCCTGATCTGCTGGTGCTGACGGGAGGCGGGGCGGTGGGGAGACAGCAGGAGGGGGAGGAGGAGTCACACAAGCAGCAGCAGCAGCATGTGTTGCTGCAGCAGCGGCGGTCCAGCAGGGATGTGCTGCCGACTATGGTGAGAGAAAGGGGGTTGGGTTGGGATGGGAAGGGTGAGACTGGAAAACCACAAGGGGAGAAGAGGCGTGGAAAGAGGAGTTGGTTTGTGAGAACTTTCAAGAACCACATGAACTCCTATGGATTTTCTGTGGTCTCACCAGGCGTGACGCAATTCACACAGACTGGACATGCTGCTGGGGCATGTTTCCTGTCCTTCCGTCAGCTAGTCATTTCTGCTCCCACCCTCCGTTTCCCTCCATGTCTCTCCATGTCCCTCCATGTCCCTTCAATCCCCTCCACTGCTCTTTCACATCCGTCCCCAAATGTGACTGGCGTATCAGTTCTCCACACCCCTCCGTTCCTCTCCCTACCCTTTCTCTCCGCCCTTCTCTCCAGGCCTTTGGCTCATTCCTTTTCACAGCTGCAGTTGGGCCAGCAGCAACAGCAGAAGGCATGACACCACCTGGCACATCCACAGACACACCTACTGGCCGCACCACTCCCCCGCGTTCTGCACCCTCCTCGCTCCCCCCTCTGGCTGCTTCTCTGGGAGGGGCAGGAGGAGGAGCAGGAGGAGCAGGCGGAGGGGGAAGAGGAGGGGGAGTGGTTGTGGGGGGAAGCACGAGGGGGGGGATGCAGGCAGCCATGGCACTGGCAGCACAGCTGCTGGATCTGCACGTGGCTCTGGAGTGGCGGCCGGATCGGACCGTTGCACTGCTGTATAACGGGGTTGTGGTAGCTACTTTCTAATGGAGTACTTCTATGCAGTCCCAATCTAAAGCCTTTCCAAGCCCCTCAGCGGAACTAGGCATCACCACTGGCAGCACAGCTGCTGGATCTGCATGTGGCTCTGGAGTGGCGACCGGATTGGACTGTGGCTCTGCTGTATTATGCGGTCGTGGTGGCTACTTTCTAATGGGGCCGCTCCTGCATCAAAGCCCTCCTGCCTCAAAGCCCTCCTGCCTCAAAGCCCTCCTGCCTCAAAGCCCTCCCGCCTCAAAGCCCTCCCGCCTCAAAGCCCTACCGCCTCAAGACCCTCCCGCAACAGCACAGCTTTTGGGGTGGACTGGACCTACACTTGGCACTCGAGTGCAGGAGATTGGACCAGACCAGACGTTGCACTGCTGCGTAACGGGGCCGCGGTGGCAAGGCTTGGCTTGGCTAGGCTTGGCTAGGCTAGGCTCTGCTAGGCTTGGCTACATAGTAGCATCTAGTGGTCTAATTGTAATGGAATGGAGTCGTGTCGTGGACCGTGGTGTCCTGTATGATCCGGATTCCGTTGCAACTCGGGAAGGCCCGCAAAGGGGCTGTTGGTTACGCAGTGCAACAGGTCGCTATGGCATGGCATGGCATGGCATGATGGCAGCACAGCTGCCGGCTCTGAATGAGGCGCTCCTGTGGGGAGACCACACGACACGATTGGTTGCATTGCAGTGTAACGGCTGTGGTGTGGTGGTTAGCTAGTGGCTGCTCTCTCACTCTCTAGCTAAAGGGCGAATTGCTACTAAGTACCGGTAGTATCAAAATCAATCATGTTTCTTTTGATCCTACCATTTTACAACGTGCAGATCAACAATCCTAAAACTGTCGCAAGTGGGTTTCGCGTGCGAAAAGGGATGTCTCGCACGATCCGACATGTACACCCTCGCGTCCAACACAAAACATCTCCGCGACTGCCCAGACTTGACCACGCATGTTGACAGTCTTAACACACGCAGTGTTTTTCAAAAATTGTGTATTGTGAAAGCGAAGCTGATTGTATTGAAGCATTGGGCATCGTCGAAGCGTGCTACTCGCCCTTCTCCTGTCAACTCATACATGTTATGCATGTAGAAGTTACAGGCTAGCATCGGTGTGTGCTCCTAGTGAGTACAACCCAACTGCTATATGTGTCATGTTTTCCCTTCTAGTCATTCATTCACGTATTCTAACATGGTATCGAGTAGGTAAGGTTCACCCGCCCGCTTCCGCCCGCGCCCTAGTCTCTCGCCCGCCCCTAGCCGGCCCCCTGGCCGTCGCGTCTGCCCCTAGCTGGCCCCTTGGCCGTTGCGTCCGCCCCTAGCTGGCCCCCCTGGCCGTCGCGTTCACCCCTAGTCGGCCCCTTGGCCGTCGCGCCCGCCCCTAGCCGGCCCCCTGGCCGTCGCGTCCGCCCCTAGCCGGCCCCCTGGCCGTCGCGTCCGCCCCTAGCCGGCCCCCCTGGCCGTTGCGTCCGCCCCTAGTCGGCCCCCTGGCGGTCGCGTCCGCCCTCAGCTGGCCCCCAGGCCGTCGCGTCCACCCCTAGTCGGCCCCCTGGCCGTCGCGTCCGCCCCTAGCTGGCCCCCTGGCCGTCGCGTCCGCCCTCAGCTGGCCCCCTGGCCGTCGCGTCCGCCCCTAGTCGGCTCCCTGGCCGTCGCGTCCGCCCCTAGCTGGCCCCCTGGCCGTCGCGTCCGCCCTCAGCTGGCCACCTGGCCGTCGCGTCCGCCCATAGTCGGCCCCCTGGCTGTCGCGTCCGCCCCTAGCTGCCCCCCCTGGCCGTCACGACCGCCCCTAGCCGGCCCCCTGGCCGTCGCGTCCGCCCCTAGCTGGCGCCTTGACGGTCACGTCCGCCCCTAGTCGGCCCCCTGGCCGTCGCGTCCGCCCTCAGCTAGCCACCTGGCCGTCGCGTCCGCCCATAGTCGGCCCCCTGGCCGTCGCGTCCGCCCCTAGCTGGGCCCCCTGGCCGTCGCGACCGCCCCTAGCCGCCCCCCTGGCCGTTGCGTCCGCCCCTAGCTGGCCCCTTGGCCGTCGTGTCCGCCCCTAGACAGCCCCCTGGCCGTCACGTCCGCCCCCAGCCGGCCCCCTGGCCGTTCGCGCCCGCTCCTAGCCGACCCCCTGGCCGTTCGCGCCCGCCCCTAGCTGGCCCCACTGGCCGTCGCGCCCGCTCCTAGCTGGCCCCCCCTGGCCCCACGCGCCCGCTCCTGGCCGGCCCACTAACCGTCGAGCCCGCTCCTAACCGGCCCCAGCAGCGCCCGCCCGGCCCCTCCTCGCGCCCGCCCGGCCCCCAGTCGCGCCTGCCCGGCCGCCCCACGCGTGCTAGGCCCCTCCTAGCGCCTGCCCGGTCCCAGTGCGACTGCCCGGCCCCTCCTCCTGCCCGCCCGGCCCCTCCTCGTGCCTTCTCGGCCTGCCGTGCCACCTCGGGCCCCGTGTCCTCTGCTAGCCCGCGCTGGGGCGCCCCTGCAGCCGCCCTACTGGAGAGTGCTGCCGCCGTGTCCCCGTGCCGCTGTGCTCCTGCCGAGCTGTGGAGCTGTGCAGCTGTGTCGCTTAGGAGCTGTGTCGCTGACCCTGCACGATGGCTGACTTCGTGCTCCGCCTGGACACTGAGGGCCACGCGGTTGACTTCGCCGCCTGGCTCTCCAATCTCCGCCGTCAGCTTACAGGTCAGCGCCAGGATGGACACTCGCTAGTTGTCCATGCTGATGGCTTGCTCCCCCGCCCCCCTGCACCTGCTCCCATCCCTGCTGACCCCACCTCCGCTGAGAGTGAGGCTTTCTCTACTGCTGCGCTTGCCTGTGCGGTCTGGGACTCACGCGATGCAGTAGCTCAGGTTGCTATCAGTCACGCCCTCCCTGTGTCTGAGCGCTCGCGTTTTGCTACGGTTGATACGGCCAAAGCTTATTTAGACGCTGTTATTGCTCTCTATTCCACACCTGCATCCGCTTCTGCCGGCCGCCTGCTCTTCCCGATGCTGTTCCCAGACCTTGCTGCCTTCCCTACTGTCGCAGACTTTGCCACTCACTTGCGTGCCCTAGAGACCCGCTATCGCATTGCCAGCACTGCTGCCCAGCTCACTGCGCTCCCCCCCCCATTCTGCATGACCCTCTATTATATCGCCATGCGCCTGCCGGACCGCCTAGCTAGTGCCCGCGACCGCTTCCTTAGCCATCACCCGGGTGACCTCACACTGACCGCCTTTGTCGACACCCTCACCGAGATCGAGACGCGCCAGCGCACTATCGCTCAGTCGAGCGGTGCGCCGGCAGTCTCTATCTTTCACGCCTGTGCCCCCTCCCAGTGCACGTTTACTGAAGTTTCGGCTGCGATCGCCACTGCGACCCCTCTTACCAAGACGGTTGCTGCGGTCCACCCGCAGCAGCGTCCGCGCCGCAGTGACCGTGGCCGCCAAGGAGGTCGTGGTGGTGGCACTGCTGGTGGTGGTAGTGGTGGTGGTGACGGTAGTCCACCTGAGGGACTACCACTGGTGGGCAGGAGCAGACGCAGTCGCCATCGAAGCCGGAGCAGCCCCCGCAGCAGCCACCGCCGTCCCAGCAGCAGCCGTCGCACCCGTGGGCTCGTCTACCACCTGGTTGGCCCGGCACCTCTGGCGGTGGTGGCCGAGGTGGCGGCCCGCGCAGCTTGGTGTCTACCAGCAGCTCCAGCTTCAGATCGGGCATCTCCACGGCACTCTGTGCCGCCTCGACGATCTCTTTCGTCGTCGCTTTGGCCCGGCCCCAGACCTCCTCGACTGGCACAGCCTGCTTCACCAGGGCGTGCCGATCTTTGAGTTAGATATGGATCAGATAGGTGCTGCTTTGCATGCTCTGTATGCTGACGCTTCTAGTGTTGCTGGATCTTATTATCATGTGTACTCTAGTTTAGGTGTCTCACCCTTGTATAGCTTAGCCTCCCCTGCTGTGTTAGGCGTAGGACTGCCTAGTTTGCCTAGCCTAGGTTCTGCACCGGCTCCGTTCCCAGCCTCCGCCACTGCCTCGCTGTCCTTCACTCTCGACTCCGGTGCTTCTGCCTGTTTCTTCCGCGACCGCTCCACGCTCGCACCGCTTGCTGCGTCTGCTGTTGTTGCACTCGCTGACCCCTCTGCTGGTCCTGTCGTCGCTCGCAGCTCCACTTCCCTTCCCTGTCCCGCCGTTCCCTCCGGCTCCCTTACAGTCCTCCACGTTCCCTCGTTCTCCAGGAACATGGTTGGTGTCGGCTGTCTTCAGGACCTCGGCGTCACCACCACGTTCCCTGGGCACGAGCAGTTTGGTGTCTGTACCGAGGCTGCCACAGGTTCCCCCCTTGCGACGTTCCCCCGGGACCCGGTGTCCGGTCTGTTTACCCTCGACACCACTCCCCCTCCGGTTGGTGCATCATCCCAGGTCGCTGCAGCTTGCTCGTGTCGGTCTCTCACTCACCCTTCCCTTTTGTGGCACCACCACCTAGGTCACCTTGCACTCCCGCGTCTGCGTCACATGTCCCAGCACGGTCTTGTCTTAGGCCTCCCCGCGTCGCTCCCCGCCCTTCCCCTCTCGCCTGCTCCACCGTGCACGCCCTGCGTCGAGGGTCGGCTCCACCGTGCCCCTCACTCCTCCTCGCTTTGCCCTGCTACTGCTCCCCTTCAGACCCGGCACCTGGACGTTTGGGGCCCTGCCCCGTCCCCGGACCGCGTCGCGAGCCGCTACTTTCTTGTGCTCGTCGACGACTACACGCGCTACACCACGGTGTTTCCCTTGGAGCGGAAGGCCGACGTGCCCGACGTTCTTCTCTTGTGGGTTGTGGCTGCGCGTCTTCACCGAGGTCTCCCATGTTGTGTCTCCACTCTGACCGTGGCGGCGAGTTCGCTTCTGGTCATGGAGGTGGCTCGTACCTCCATGATCCATGCCGGTGCACCCCATTTTCTGTGGCTTGGACAGTTCTGTCATGTGGAGGCATCACCCAGTTGTACACCTTGCCGGACTCGCCACAGCAGAATGGGGTTGCTGAGCGCCGCATCGGGCTTGGTCATGGAGGTGGCTCGTACCTCCATGATCCATGCCGGTGCACAACATTTTCTGTGGCCGTTCGTCGTTCGCTACGCCGCTCACCAGCTTAACTTTGCCCACGCTCCTAGCGGTCGCTGGTTTCGCCGACCCTCCTTTGGACCGGTCCCCGGTGACGCGTCTTCGTTCCATGTCTGGGGCTGCCTTGCTCACGTTCGTGCCTCTGGCACGGACAAGCTCACTGCCACACTGTCCCCTGTGTCTTCCTTGGTTTCCCCCTGGACTC